TCACATTCACAATGTTCAAAGCCAGATAGTAGTTCTACCATACTACATTTTGTGATGCCTACCTTGTAAAATGTATTAGTTTCTTCATCATCAGTTCTTCCTTCAGTACATGTACCTGATTCATTACCACCTCAATCTCCCCAAACACAATCTCCTCCATTATATATATATATATATATATATATATATATATATATATATATATCCCCTTAGCCATCATTACCACCTCAGTCCATTGCTGCCCAAGATTCTCCAGCTCCTATGGTTCCTAAATATAGTTATGAAAGTCTTCAAGTGGTGCTTGACATACCACCATTGAATTTACATCCCATGCAAACACGATCCAAGAGTGGGTTTGTTAAGAAAAAGGTTCTTTTTGCTTCTAAAAACATCTCCATAGTGGTTAATTTGCCTACTACTGAACCTGCCACATATAAATATGCATTGAAAGTTCCAGTGTGGTTTAATGCAATGAAGGAAGACCTTAATGCTCTTTATTCACAGAAGACATTGAGCTTGGTTGATCTTCCACTTCATAAGAATTTAGTTGGGTGTAAATGGAATTTTACGGTCAAGAGAAATGTTGATGGGAGTATTGCTAGACACAAGGCTTGTTTGGTTGCCAAAGTATTTATTCAAGAAGAAGATTTGGACTATGGTGAGACATTTAGCCCGGTTGTTAAACCAATAACTGTGAGACTCATGCTTGCTCTTGATGCTCACTATAATTGGCCATTGAGACGACTAGATGTGAAGAATGCTTTTCTTCATGGCATTTTGAATTAGGAGGTTTATATATCTCAACCTCCAGGGTTTGAGGATTCTAAGTACCCTTATATGGTTTGCAAATTGCGTAAGTCTTTATATAGACTTAAATAAGCACCAAGGGCTTGCAATGATAGGTTTACTCAATTTTTACCACTGTCGGGTTTCAAAAACACCTATTCAGATTCTTCGATGTTTGTTAAACATGTTGCTGGTTCCATTGTGGTTCTTTTCTTATATGTGGACAATATTATAATTACTGGGAGGGCATCTTCTGCTATTCAATAGGTTGTTGCAAATTTAACTAAAGAGTTTGATCTTAAGGATCTTGATCCTTTACATTTCTTCTTGGGTATTCAAATTTCCAGAATTGCTAAGGAGTTGTTTTTGTCACAAGAGAAGTATATTCAAATGTCCAGAATTGCTAATGATATGAACCTCGAAATTTTTGCTAGTAGAAAAATATGATGATGCATTCGTTTCAAAAGCATATAATGAACTACTTAAAAAGTATATTACTCTCAAAAACATGAAGTTTAGCTAATTGCAATATTTGAGAATTCAATGTGGTCAATCATGTAGATAAAAGAAGTGTTGAAATGTCCAAAACTATCTTGAAAGGTAGCGGGGAGTTGAAATGTCAGAAATAACCTTATAACAAGTCATGTGCAAAGTCATATCACTTATTTGGTATGGAAAACTTAAGGCAGTTAGTATGAGATGACAAATTAATGATTTAGAAAAGTTGATATAACAAACTGCTGAAAATTTTTAGTCTATATGACAAATTGAAAAAGATGTATAAGTTCATATGACAAATTGAAAATTTTCCCTTCTTAAATTATTGTCCCATTCCAATAAAAATGGGTCGCGGTTTGTTGTCCCCATTTTTGTATTTCATTTGTGTCTAGTCCTTAATTGGTTGAAATGCGTCCATAAACTTAAACCAAAACTTAACACCAAGTTTAAATATATCAATACAGAAATAAAAATGCACAAACAAACAGGCAACATCACCAGCCACCTTCACCACTTGTGTCCTCCTCATCATGCTATAGAATTATTAGAGAGGGGCCAACGGCCTAGTCTAACAATACCGATATTGTCCACAACTTGGTAATTACCACATGCCCAGTCCGTCAAGTGTGAGGTTTTATCACAAAAGGCCTTGGTATTAGTTGGAGTGGGATTAGGGTATTTAAACTTTTCTTTTCTCATAAATACGGTCGATGTGGGACATTTCAACACGCCCCCTCATGTGGGACCCAATTAGTGGGTCATATGTGGGAGATGTACACATCGACAACCACATGGAGCCAAGGGGACTCACCCAACACGCGGGGCTAAGGGACTCACCCATCACATGGCAGTACGATACGAGCCCGCTCTCTGGCTCTGATACCATGTAGAATTATCAAAGATATGGGTCAACAACCTACTCCAACAACACCAATATTGTCCTTAACTTGGTAATTATCACTTGTCCACTCCATCAAGTGTGGGGTTTTATCACAAAAGGCCTCGGTATTAGTTGGAGTGAGATTAGGGTATTTTAACTCTTCTATTTCTCATAGATACGATCGATGTGGGACATTTCAACACCCTCTCCCATCCCAATGATTCCTTCTACAACCACAATTTACCACACCAATTCTTTCATGTAGACTGCACCACGGCTTCTCACTCACATAACAATATTCCCCACACCCTTGTCCCAAATAATAATAGGAAGATGAGTTATTCATGTATCTTATGAATTAAAAAGAGATAAATCAAATTGAGAAACTATCAAAATTGAAACCAATAAACCACAATTAGCAAACTCAAGTTTGATGGATGATCAAGAAGCGAAGGAAACGGATGATGAGGAGGTGGTTGTGATGGTGGTTGAAGGAAAGGTGGACAACTGAATGGGGGTTGGATGTGGCTCATGTGATGGTTGGACATTTGTGAAGAGACGAAGGAATGGTGAACGGTAAGGTGCGGTGACCATCAAAGTCGTATGAGGGATTTAAGTGGCAACCATGTTTCCCCAGCCTTTTATTTTTAGTCTTTATTATTGTTTTATTATTTATTAACAATGTTACTTTCTGAGTTAATGGACGGAACACGTGTCAAATAATTAGAAAGGAGACACAAAAAGGGATAGCATACGCGCAATCATTCAAATGTTTGTCAATTTTCTCAAATAAATAAATAAATTATTTATAAAACTAGAGAAATGTTAAGCAACTATTTCAAAAGTAGGACTCTCTCTTACCTTATGTTTTTTGCATAATGTTTTATACTGTTAACATAAGAATTGACGTTAAATCGTAAAATGATAGAGAATACATAAAAAATCTCATTTTTAATAAAGCCCCCTTAACATTATCATAAAACTATATTCTAAAATAAAAACCAGACACAAATTACACAACTGCTCTTTGAAATTTTCACATAGACGCTGCTGTGCTGACTAATTCTTTCACGCCCAAATCCTAACTTGGATTTGGTTTGCTATAATACAAATAAAATATAAGAAATGCTTTTTAGCCAAAATGGTCTTTAAGATTTGCATGACACATCACTTTGGTATCTGAGATTGAAAATCAATAGAAATGGTCCCTAGGATTGTCTACCATCCATTATTTTGGTCATTTCGTTAAAAACTTCATTAAGTGTCCCAGAGCTCTTGGTCGAAAATTTGGACAATTTTCAAAACTTCGTAACTCAATCGTTTCTTAATCAAATTCAATCCATAATATATCAAAATGAAGATAGGAAAGTGTAGAACAATTATATCTATTTGGAAGCCCAATGGTTGCCAGAGATGGTCGGAAAATGGGTAAACTTTAAACGTTCTTAACTTCTTCAATACTCAACAAAATCGAGTGATTCAAAACAAAAATCATACTTCTTGACGAGATGAAGAGAATGGTACCTTTCTCGATGGCTAAATCGCCGTGGTTTGGCCAAAAAACGGATCGAAAGTGGCTGTCTTGGTCTCGATTTAGCCACTTTTGAGCTTTTTTTTTTTGGCCAAACCACAGAGAATTAGCCATAAAAAAGTACCATTCTCTTTGTCTCACTGAGAAGTATGATTTTCTTTTTTGAATCACTCAATTTCGTTGAGTATTGAAGAAGTTATGAACGTTTAAAGTTTACCTTGTTTCCGTCGAGTTTTTTAGTTTTCCTGCAGACCAGTCACTATTTTCCAACCATCTCCGGCAACTATTAGGCTTCCAAATAGGTATAATTTTTTTCTACACTTTCCTATCTTCATTTTTGATATATTGCGGGTTTAATTTGGTTAAGAAATGATTGAGTTACGAATATTTGAAAATTGCTCAGACTTTCGGCAAAGAGCTCTAGGACGCTTAACAGAATTTTTAACAGAATGATCAAAATAATGGATGGTAAACAATCTCAGAGACCATTTCTATTGATTTTCAATTTTAGAGATCAAAATGATGTATTATGCAAATCTCATAAATTATTTTAACTAAAAAGCCTATGAAAAAAAAATAGTGTTTCACTGAAATTTGTATCGCTTGAGAAGAAGACAAACCCTACCAAGTTTCAATTATAATTATAATAATCAATTTATTCCTAGGTAATTTAATAATAATCCCGAGATTAAAATATTCCAAGAATATCTACCTGAAAATAAGAGGTAATGATAGCAGAATATGTTGAAAACTCCACTCACTCCAAATCCAAAGCCTGCTCCTGCTGCAACAACTTTGGCTTTTACATCACTCAGACAGTTCAGATTGCACAATCCATGAAACATCACTGTCCCTCTCTCTCTCTCTCTCCTTTTCTCGAATACGGAAATGAATGAATGATTCTTTGGCAACCTCGCAAGTTTCTTGGCAAGACAAATGAGGTAATCTTTGAAAAATAAGATTTTCTATAAATTTTCCGTTAATTTATATTTTTTTGCATAATTTTTATAATATTAATATAAAAATTAGTGTTAAATTGTAATGTTACAGAGGATAAACAAAAATTCTGCTTTAAAAAAATCTCTTTAATATTTATTTTCTCGACAAATAAAGAGGAATTTTGTCTCGCACAAATTATAGTCTCGGAAAAAAAATATTTTCAATTGTGTATCTTGCTTAAAGATGTTTTGTTTGTGTTAAAAAATATCGATTGGTCTAAGAAATGTTCACCAGGTGATGGAATGGTGAAACAAAAGATTTCACAAACATAAGATTTCATTGGTTTATCAACCAATAAAAGGTAGATGGAGAAACAAAAGATATATAACTTAGTACAAGCTTAAAAGCACTAAAACTGACATTTAAGTCTCTGATAATTAAGTGAACAAATTAAATTGAAACCTATGCCTTTCTCTTAATTTTTGTTTCTTGCTGATCACCAACACACTAATTAAAAAACCTAGCTGCTCGAGGGTTTTGTTACACTAGTGGAGTTGTGTGCAGAAGTCCATGCTGCCAAGATGAAGCAATCCCGTTCCAGCTCTCTCTTCCTGAATCATACTCGTGATTCCCATTCCCCACCATGTTTGCATGATGATCTCCACCGTTCATCTGCCATGGAAACCCCCACAAAACTCTGTTGCTGCTCTCACTTTGTGCATTGAACAGTTCTTGCTTCATTGTTGTAACCGTCACTGCGGTGGTGGCTGAGGTGGTGGTGGTGGCTTCTTCAAATGGGTGGTGGATTCCCATTCCTCCACCACAATCTTCCACCTCACCCAAATTCCCATTACCATTCCCAAACCCATAGTTATACAAGTTCTGGAAATTACCATTGTGCGACTCAAGAAACCCAGTCCTGAGTCCATCAAGAAACCCAGGAGCTGAATTAGGGTTTCCAAGAATGTTATGATCATCAAACCCTAACTGGCCACCACATGACTGCTGCCTTTGGAGCCTAGCAAATGCAAGGGTGAGGTCATTTGAGTCATAACCTAGAGCAGGGAGTGGGTTGGAATTGGGTGTGAGCGGTTGCTCCTGAGCTCGCTTCGCCGCCGAAGACGATCTCTTGTTCTTCCTGCACCCTCCACCCACAGGAACATTCCTGAGGGTACCACCTTTGGTCCAGTACCTTCTGCAGGACTTGCAGAAGTACCTAGGCTGTGAGAGGCTGTAGTTGTTGTAGTAGCAGAATTTTGTGTTTGTGGAGTCACATCTCGGACATTTTAGAGCTTGTTCTGGCTGAGGCCTCGGCTTCCTGTCTTGCTGCTGCTGTTGAGATTTTGAGCCGACCAGCATGTCCATTGAATGTAGCTGACATTTCCTGAATTATCGAGGGGTAAATTCAAAAAGTTAGAAAATTGGGAATTTAAAGGACAATTACGTGTCAAGAAATAGTGTACTAGCTACATAGATATATTCTAAGCTTTGCTTTGAAGTTACATATCTTGCATTCACATGTACTGTGCAGGCAAATGTGTATGATGATGATGACGGCTTGTGACGGTTTTAGACTGTGAGTCCAAATTGAGAGAGGATGAACTCATAGAAGGTCATACAAGTGAATGTAATTATTAGCAGCAACATTATTTCATGTTTGCTTGCTTTTTCAGTTTACTATTTCACCAAAAAGAAGCAAACAAAATATCATGATTCCGATCAAGATGAAAATTCATAAATAACATAAGACACAACTCAAATAAAGATAAAAAATTCTTTTCTGGAAAATTTAAGAACTAATCCAACTCAAAGCGCTTCTTGTTTGAAAATTGTACCCAAAACCCAACAGAATCAGCTACCAACTCATAACAATCAAGGTAAATTAAATTTATTTAAAAGAGAAAATCAATTTTAAGTGAAATTTTAAAGAAGGTAAAGACTACCATCCTATAATATTATTGGAAACTATATACAAAAAACACAACAAACAGAAAGCAGCTTCTGAGAATCCTCATGAAATATCCTACCTGTTGTTGTTGTTGTCCACTTGAAGGATCCATTAGTTCATGCAATCAATCAAGCAGTCCACAATTTGCAAGAAGAAAACTGGCTTTTAGAGAGAGAAAGAAAGAGATGGTGATTGAAGAGTAGAGAGAGAGAGATTGATTGAAGGGTAGAGAGAAAGAGAGAGAGAGAGAGAGAGAATTCACATGCAGGTGAGGTAATAGAGAAGCTTAAGTCACACCCCAACTCTTCAATCCAATATATAACAAAGCAAACCCAATCTGGAGAGAGAAAGAGAGACAGATAGAGTTTTGATCCGTACAAGAGGGGAGATAATCGATGAGGTCGCAGAGAAAGTGTATGTGTTTCGTGTATGCGGTGGGTGCGTTGAGAAAATTCGAGTCCCACCTTCTGTGCTCTGCAACGGTTTCATATATAGTGAGGCCACACTAACGCACCTCACAGTCTCTCAGCTGCGCCAGCCCCCACTAGCTTCAGCTGCTACTTCCATCCCATTCTCCTGTGGGCCCCGATCTCGCGTGGATGCAACTATTTTTGCAGGGCCCCACCACCACTACTTCTATTTACAATTTTCTTATTGCTAAACCGCATCCCCGGTCATATCGTATATCCACCGCTCACCCCCCAATACCTCGCCTCCTTCTCGAACTCGTCACTCGTTTTCCTGCAGTGTGCTGCTGCACAATCCTCGTGTTCCAAAAAACATACTATTCATACTATATTTTTATATCATCTTAGATGATATCTGATGTGGCTATCCACATTGAAAATTTTACAAAAATCAAGGAAATGAAGGAAAAAAACTCTTATACCACAATCATTATTTAATTAACTAGTTTTTCTTAATTATTAATTTATTAAATAATGAACTAAATTTAAAAATCTGAATTAATTCAAATGATGTGGCTGTTCACATTAAATAACATCTAATATGATATAAAAATATGGTATAAAAACATGATATAAATAACATTACTCTTAAAACAAATTTGTTAAAAACCAATAAAAACGGAGATTTTGGGTAGGTGATTCTGGATTGTAGTGGTGAAGGGTGGTCCCCACAGAACAATGATGCAGTTTTTTTATTCCTTATTTTTTAATACGAATAACTTATATGGTATATGATTATTGGTATTTTGATACTTTCCTATGTGAAAAATTACTCAGGTATGATATAGTGTGATATTATTGAATTAGAATGTTATACGATAGAAAAATTCTTTTGCAAGTCAAACTCACATGGGTTGATAAGTTTTATTTTTATTCAAGAAATGGCACAAATGATAACATAGATATGGAATAAATATAATTTTACTTAAATTCGTACGACATTATTATTAAATTCGAACGTCTTATCTTTTTTGGTAATTTGATCTTGTAATAGTGAATGGTTGTTGGTGCCTGTTTTTTTTTAACTGTGGTTGTCTTCGTTGAAGGTTCTTTTGATATGGACCGCATGATGAGGTTGGGACCGGCCGGCAGGAGAGAACACTAGTGATTATGACACACAGAGTAAGGATCTTCGTTTCATTTTCTTTTGTCTTATTACTAAAGATTTGTTTGAGAAGTGTTTTTAAATGGTTAAAAAAAATTTAGAGAAAATTTTATCATGATAGTTAAAATTAATCGGTGAGGTGCCTAAAATTAATTGCTCATAGCTACCTAAAGAGCGTGTCTTTTTTTTTTTTTTTTTTTTTTAAACTAAATAAAAAAGGAAAAGAATAGGTAGCTAGATTTTTGCATTTTTCTGGTTGGTCTCGTGGTAGTTGTGGTCCAATTTTGTGACAAGTCGTAATCAACCCTAAAGCAATAGCACTATAATTAACAAGCATTATTTTGTACCCACTGGTACTTGTTTTACGGCTGGTTTGGCATCTGTCTGTGTATTTATGTCTAATTGTAACGCAATTAGTTGTACTTTGCTTACTGCGTGTGCAACCTAGTTTGACAACCATAGATTAGTTTGATTGTGGTAATATACACAATACAGCTCTAATGTCATTAATTCAGTAGAATTATGTGCATTGAACTAAAACTTAATGAAGAAGAATTCAAGAAAATGAAATTGACGAGTGGTGGATTGTCCAAGTAAATATGGTATTTCTTTTTATTTTATTACATCTTGCGTTTGAAGACTTTTCTTCTTAATGTCAAAATGATACTCTTACCATATATTTGTATTCTCTTTCTAATACAGATGAGACGCATATGGTTGGTAGATCTATTAGAGAGATGGTTGTTGAAAATAAGTCTCACATTAATGAAAGGATGGACCTTGCATGGTATCACTAGTTTTAGGTTTCCTCTTCCTGGTAAAACCCTAGCCTCCTTCACCCTTCCTCAATTCTTTGCCGTCCCTCCTAAGGTCCAATTCCTCAAATTTTTAATTTTGTGCTGTGCCCACCTACTCCATACTCCACCGTAAAACAATTGGCAATATGGAGGGTAACCCAACTTACTTATAAGCCCATGCAAGGTCCCTCCTCCCATCAATGTGGGATTCATTCTCAGCACGCCCCCTCATGTGTGGTAAATTTTCAAGCCTAACATGTGGACGACACAACGGGGTGACGTGGAGCGCGTGTGGCCGTTTGACTTCACACGTGGGACAACCTGCTTTGATACCATGAAGAAAGTTGAGGTTCCACCATAAAACTAATTGGCAATAGAAGAAGTAGCCTAACTTACTTTATAAGCCCATGCAAGGTCCCTCCTCCCATCAATGTGGGATTCATTCTCAATAATAATACAAATTATTGTACAAATATGTGATAAGTGTAACATTACTCCTGTTAATTTAATTTAGAGTATAAAAATAACTTGTAATTAAAAAAAACAAAATTGATTCGATGAATTTCAAATATAAGCTCATTGGACAAAGCAATGTGTCAGCGATACACGCAAGTTTGAGCTCTCTCCTAGTATATTAATTACACATTTTCGAATATGGCATTGTTCAAATATACGCATTGTTATAGAACCCTATCTTGGTTTTTCTGTCCTAATGTTGTTTAGCAAGCTGACATTTTTGTCTATGTGACCTAATTAGAATTATACGTAATGCTACTAATTCATTGTTTTATAACAACACGTTAATTAATCACATTCAATAGTTCATAAATATATGAAACCGTATCATAGAATAAAATCAACATAATCAATGATGCATATAAAACTCTCTAACAAGAAAACACTTTTCTTAATCCATGCATCTTTGTCAGGTTAAACAATTTTAGCCTGCAAAAGTGCAATATCGAGCCCAGATCAGATCAAATACTAGCTCAAAAACCATATATTGTCTTTTTGCTCTGCCCAAAAATTTAAACAAATGTAATTAAAATCTGCTTCTATTGAGGAAAGTTCTTGATTTCTGCAGCATATCGCCTTTAATTACATGTGTTTGTGTGCTAACAATTACACACTCATCATGAAAGTATACAGTTTAATTTTCTTTCCTTTTCCCAGTCAAGTGTGTGAGACTTGTCTGTTTTCTTGAAACTAATGCCTCATTCTTAATGACCTAGCTGAACTCGATACACCGTATCACTGTTACAGTGTTATCTTGATTTAATATCATCATGTCATATGAAGTGAGATTAACGTGACATTATGTTATTAGATCAAAGCGCCAACTGGACGGTTTACCTGATCCAAATAAAGTCGCTCTTCTCACTATCACGAAACACCAAACAAATTCTTCTTTGTTTTGTAATATTCTTGAATAGTAAGCTTTATTGACATCAAAATCACATATGACTAAAGCATGTTTGGATGCTACGTATGTAAACGAAACAATTTTTTGTCGTTTTCCACGGTCTAACATCAACTTTCTTGCTCTAGAATTAAAGTCTAGCTAGATCATCATTCCTTAAATGTAAATTATTAGCTCACTAATTGGCTTGATGTATTAATAAATTTAAATTAAGCTCATCATTATCCCGATTTTGTTATCCACATGCAACCCACTTATGATGGTAAGATCGATCATCCAATCAGGTGATGATCGAACGGTTCGTATCTAGCCATCTTTACATGTGTAGAAATATTTTCCATTTATGGAAAAATATTCTTGGAGTAGCTAGCGGGAAACACAATGTTCAAACAAGATTTCAAGTATATTGTGCATGTTAAAATCTGTCAGAAACAATATAATAAACAAACAATGATTGCGACCACCATGATTTAACCTTTGGATCCTATGAAACAAATTTCTGGCTTCAATCGGCTCCAACCATCCATTCCAAGAAAGAACATTGATCACCATTTTTATAATTAATTAAGGTAATTTAAGGTTGAATAGGATAATAAATTCGATGAGAAAGGAATTTAAACATCGGACTTTCAACGTAATTGCGAATGAATAAATACGTTTAACCGCTTCAGTTACAATTTGCAAATATGTTGCATTTGATATTGATTGATGATGTAGTTAAATAAAAAAATTCAACAAAACTTCAGTATATGACATACGACAAATGAATGAGTGTTGAATGTGTTTCATAAAAAATTCAACAATCTGAAATATGACAACTAAACATCTCGTACTATAAACCAGTACGTACTAATAAAATATAAATCACTGATTTGAAAGTTTTATAAACTAGTTTGAATAATATAATTTTTTTAAAAACAAAAAAGGACTGGTTGGTGGCTTTTCATGGTAATTCACTCTTTTAGGGGCCTGGAAGACTCATAAGAAAACTCAGCCTCCTTCTGACCATTATTATGCAATTCACTAGAATAAAAAATTAAACCTAGAATGTACCCTACACACTTAAAATTTATCCCCAATTACCAAGTCACCAGGTAGTTTGAAAATTACGATTCACAAGCAAGCATTAGCACTCTTTGGGTGCAAATGCAAACATTGCGATGGGGCCGGGGAAGGAATGTGGGGCTAAATTTTGAAATGAATATCAGTCAAGTTAGTTGACTGGTCAAATGGAACGGTCAAACAAAATGCTGAAGGGAGCAAAATTTTCGAAAGAAAGAAGTAAAGTGGGATAGGAAACTGTGCCTGCAGGGACAAAAATGATAGATCGTAAAAATATAGGAGGAAGAGGAGGTGGTGGAGATTGCCTCTCGCGTGAAGGAAAGAATCTAGCATGCATTCTCATTTGTCACTTAAAGACTTTGTTGGTTGAAGAACAATTGGCAATGAACACGTTTTGGGGCTACGTTTTCAAATGGTGAGACTTTTTATTCGATTGGCTATGGAAAAAAAATTTAGTGATGATTTGTGATACTAATTGATATTGGATTTGTTAATTAAGTTCAGCTTTTCACGATTATGTATTTTGGTTTAGCCACGGTGATTTTAACACTATTTTAAATGGTTTTGAAACTTTGAGATTGTTACCGTCCTCTTAAAGTTATGAATTTACGTGCATTATCAATTAGTCTAGCGCACTCAATTTCTATTGAGCAATTTAAACATTTTGCTTGACATTTTCGAGAACCGCCGCCTTTGGTTTGTGACATAACAAAACATTGATTTCTTGATTTAGCACCACATTGTTCTTAACGCAAATGATATTCAATGAAATTATGATTTGCTTGACTTATCCTTCTCCAAACATTACCCATTCGAAATTAGTGCATGCAATTTATGGTACACACGTCACATCTCAACCCGAAACCCAATTTCTTCGTAAATTTTATAAACGTGAGCGTGATTATACTCACTAAAGCAAATGTTCTACCAAAATTCAAATTCCTTTCTGTAATATAAACTATAATACTTTGGAATATAGTTTATATAAATAATTGAAAAATGTTTGGAAGTAACGGAATCTTCTTTGGTAAACTTGGAAGTAATGCCATGGAAGTTGGAAGTGTGAACAAAGCAGAAGCTCGTTGCTGGAAAATTCCAGATGCGGGGAAGCAAAGAAACAAGTAGGGACAGCTGTAAGTGATATGGTCGGCGTAGGTGGGTTCCACCGGATTCTATCCCCCCCTTTGATTCTGACACGTGGCACCAATAATGCGGCTACGAGACGAATATTTCGGTTTACGAGGAAAGTACACCGCACCGCACTGTGACACACAGCAGTCCTTACGCCTCATCTGTCATGCCCTACTGGGCCGCCTTAGTGGGCATTGCCCGTAGGCCCCACACTTTTCCTCCCTTATCAAGGAAAGAATGTGTGATTCCACTCAATTCTAAACTAGGATTCTCTTCTTCCATCTTTTCATCTCATTACATCCACTTTTCTCAAATTTTTAAATTTTGAAATTTTATCTTTCTCTTTCTATAAAAAATTAATATAAAATGTTAATATGGTTTAACCGTGACCGTTTAAATAGAAAGAGAGAGAAGGGGAGAGAAAAAAAGAGGGGAACGAATCCTACTCCTTTTTTATGCTAATAAACTGTTTTCAATTTTTGAATGTCAGGTTGAATTTATTCGTTAGAGTGTGGGGAAAGAAAAAAAAGATGTGTGAATAGCACCATTCAAAAATAATTTTTCACCATTTATCTGTTATTCATATTTTTTTTCTTCTATTTCTTTTATTAATTCTTATTAGTTATTCGATTTTGGACTAATGCTGTCTTACGCTTAGTTACATTGTCATGCGCTTCACTATCCAAATAGCATAACATAATTAGTTTCAGATACTGTTAATAAAATGTTAGTGATAAAACAAATCAACTAATTTAAATAACTATTAAGATTTTCACGGCCATATGTTTTATTGAATACATATGAGTGACTAATTAATATAGAAGTTGATTATTTTATTGGAATGTGATACTTAATAACGAGAAGTAAAATGAATAATTCCGATTATGAGACGTCGAAAATAACAAGTGTATTTATCCTTTCGGTTTTGTGATGGACCTGATGGTAGAGAAGAGGTTTTTGTTGGTTATTTGGCACGTGGGAATAACGGTGGGAAGTCACGCGGGTCACGAGAACGGAAAGGGTAGACGTCATCATGGCCTGAATGGAGCTGAGAATCTGAGATCAGAGAGGATTCGGTAAAGGGTTGGGTTTTATCGGACTCGAAGGAACGGGTCGGTTTTGGAATATGTTACGTGCAGGAGTTCAAATTTGATTTAGCTTACGAGGTTTTTGCTAACGTATAATTCAAGGGAACATTTTTATCAAGTCCATCAAGACATATAATCCAGGGAGTGTATTTAATTAAGAGTTTGAAAGATCGTTATGGATTTATAAATCTAAGAATTTTTATAGAGTTTAATTGTTTTGTAGAGATTTCATGTAAAATTTTGATTCAATTCCCTCGAAATCTCATGGGGAGAGATGAGATTTGTGGATACTTAAAATACACTACGAGATCTCTCAAACTCCCTCTAATTCCTCAACTTTCTCAAATTATTTAAGGGGAGTGTATTCCATTGGGATTTTGAGGGATTTTAATTCTTTTAATGAATCTAGTGGTATTCAATCAGGATTTTAAGATAGCTTATTAAAATCCTTAGAAATTTAGGTGTATTCAATTAGGATTTCAAAGAAGTTTACAACATTCTAGGTGTATTCAATTAGAATTTGATTGTAAAAAATTTCAAAAAGTTGAGGAATTAAAGGGAATTAGAGATATTTTGTAGTGTATTTTAAGCATCCACAATTCTCACCTTTTCCCATGAGATTTCGAGGGAATTGAATCAAAATTTTACATGGAATCTCTACAAATCAATTAAACTCCATAAAAGTTCATGGATTTATAAATTCATTAAAATCTCTCAAATTCTCAATTGAATACACCCCCCCTAAAATCAATTTCTAATTTAATACACCTAGAATGTTATAAACTTCTTGAAAATCCTAATTGGATACACTCGGAATTCTAATAATTTTAATAACCTATCTTAAAATTCTCATTGAATACACCTTAAATTTTAGAGAATCACTTAAAATCCTGATTGAATATTCCTAGATTCATTAAAAGAATTAAAATCCTTCAAAATTGCAATTGAATACATTTAATCCAATGGCTACAAACAGGACCTACTTTAAAAGTTATAATAACTTTAGTCGTTGGATCAAATTTCAAAGGTCCAGATTGTGTGCCTTGGTGGACTTGGTAGAAAGGATCCGGAGAGAATCATTTCCTATAATTCAATACATGCATTTCATTATCTTAGCTCAATCTTGATGCATGCATGGACATCATGCATGTTACTATAGCCAAATTCATCCCCGTCCCTCACAAAAAAACGGCAACCCTAAATTGCATAAATCATAAATGTGATGCGTGTAACGTATAATTTTACTTATACGGTAAATAAAATTTGAATAATACGTGCGTGGCTAAGTTCGTTGTTACTCGTTAATGTTAATTCAGATCGAACTTTCCATTTAATTTTCCTGAAATTTAAACTAACTAGAGTAATTGACGTGATTTATCATAAATGCTGAAAGTTTACAGCTGAAAATTCCAAATTTTTTTCAGTCTGTCAATTTCTTTCTTATCATTTTCCCTTTCATTTTTTAAGTATTAAAATTGTCCCATCAAGTTTTAAAGAAATTTTCACGTGATTAAATGCGGTTCTTTAGAGGACTTCATAAAGAAGGTGAAGACTACAGCACAGATAAGCATGTCAATGAAAAATAATATAAATTCAAGTCAAGTGGACAACATATATAAGGTAGTGCTATCCACACACTTATTTTTACTTCTCATATATTTTTCTTAATTTTTCAGTTGTCGAATCAGATAAATTAAAAATTAAAAAATATCAATGACAAAAATTTAACAAAGGTGTGTGAGAAGTAAAAATGAATGTGTGAATAACATTATTTCATATATATATTCCCTCTTTTTGCTAAATTAAATAAATAAATAAATTTTCTTATACGTTCAAAAAATAAACGTGAGAGCATGGATAACGCATGGATAACTAGACGATCTGATATAGAATAGACTTCACGAATATTGGGTTAAGGGAAATAAAATCATCACACCAGTTTTGTTGAAACTTGGCACATAATGTGCACTTTCCACAAATTAATATATATACTGCTAGATAAACAGTCAAAAGGCACAAAAGAACTAGAAGGGAGGATGAATTGTATCATTCTTCGTGATGCTATCAATTTCTATATTTTTTTTGTAGGTAAAATGAAAATCCGTGATTTAAGACATTGGAGGCAACTAATTATTAAGCGATCAACGATGAACTATTTAAAATCAAAATATTATTTTAGAAGCTATCTAAAATAGTTGTGCTTCAGTCATGTTTCCTACTTCTTACTTTAGAGAGTCATAATGACTATGAATCAATATTTAGCCAATAAGAGTTAATTATCTAAACTCCATATTGATAAAACCCCATTTGTCAACAAAAGTTCCAGCAAAATACAACTCTAACCCTTACACACCCCGACTAGACATCCGAATCGCGATGTGCTAGTAGACACCTGGAAGGTGACGAAACCATAAAATGTAGTGATGTGGAAAATATGAATAACTTGAAACCTAAAAGTGACTAATTTAGAGTTTGCATGTGAGCGGGATTGAACTTATATCACATAAGCGATGTCAGCATAGATAAATTGCAGTAAAAGAAGAGTATGGGCATTTATACCGAAAGGAGAAGTCTCCTACGTAACAGCTTTTACCAACAATCATTGTCGTCACGAAACTTCTAGCACTAAAATTCTTAAGGGGAGAAAAAAAAGGGTGGGTGGGCTAGAAAATAAAGTTTTGTAAAACATTTTCGAGAGGTGTAACCTTTGCTGTAAATCAAATATATGGTTTCCCAAAAATATTATAATAATAGTATGTAATAGGTACCCTGCAACACAAGTGAGCTAAAGGAAGTAGGCACAACCACAAGGTATCTCAACATCAAATCTTAATTCGTTATTATAAGAAATCAATACTCATTAATTTATATTGGCACACAAGTCCACTGCAAATATATTCAAATAATGAAAGAGGATGGATGTATGTTTTACATTCTAGTACTACATCACGTGAGCTACGCTAATCGCATCACATACAAGTCCAAAACATCACACAAAAAGACAGGCTAGCACATAAGCACATACTGAATACAAAGCAAATGTAAACGGTGCATGTAAACTACATGTGAAGTTGATCCTTAGCCCATGACAGTACAAATAACTAAGAGACACCGTGCAAACATGTAATAATGAGCAGATAACACGCAAGGATATCATCCCATAAGTTTATGCTCATAAATAATATTAAAAACATAAAGTGTACGAAAAACCTATTTGTAAGGCTAAACATAAGATATCACATCATAATATACAAAAACAGTTATTGGGAAAATAACATATATACATACATGTATATATATATATATGTAAAAACGAAAAGACCCACTCATAGGTACCTGCGATGTCACATCCTTTCAAGCTAAGAAAGTTGTAGTACCCGATAGTGGTCATACCTAAACATAATATTGAAACTCATTAGTAAAACTCAGCTTAAACGATCAAATTTAAGAAAACGGCGTGCAGATTTAAAATCAGAGCGTTGAAATACTCTAAGAGGGGTCTCGAGTAAATTTTGTAAAGAGTCAATGGTCAACCCTAAAAAACCAATTGAGATGCTCCCTATGTTAAAACTTCAGCATTTTCTTAAACAGATAAATGAACTTGGGACATCAAAATTAACTAAGAAGAGTTTCCGAGAAAATTTCATAAAAGTCAGCACAAAAGATATTTCAGGCAATGAATTCTTAGAGCATTCTGAAATATTCCGTATGCATTTTATAACCGGGCTGGGCCGGAACCCAGGTTCGGATCTTGATCCGGGTCGCGGATCTGGGCTTCCCCATTTGTTTTTTCTTCTCCAACAGGTTGCCTCTGCAACCGCCGGAATTTGGAAAAGAGATTGCCGGGATAAATCCCAGCTTTGACCAATCAAAAACTTCATTAAATCTGGCCTTACAATATGTCAAATCGAAGCTCAGAGAACAAGGAATCGGAATATACCAATGGGGTTCCCGTCCGTGATCGCATTTGGCCGGAAAATGGCCTGCAAGCGTGGAGTTTCTCGCCGGATTTTGGAAAAATTCACCGACAGCACGCATGCAGGTCAAACTCAATGATCTTTAACCAAAAACCCAATGCAACAAGGTTATTAATTACCTGGGTTCGATTTCAAACGGGTCCGCGCACCCACAGTACGAACTAGCCAGAGTTGGTCCATTCACACTCGTCGAAAACTGGAAAAGAGATATAGATGTGCATCCAGAGGTTAGGGCTCGAATGCCACTTCAACATTTCACCCAATTTATCATAGAGACAAAGAGGAAGAAATTTGATGTAATAGGGACACCCACCGACTTTGAACTCGACGGCATTGCGCCGGAGTTCGTCGTCGGGGTTGGGCTCGAAGTACAGAAAATGACAGAGGGTAAAACCCTTGAGTTTTCTCATGAAATCAACTTCACAGATGAAGGAACAACAACAATACCCCAGAAATAGTGAAAAGGAGGCATAGTTTCACCTGGGTTCAAGTTTGAGAGTTATGAAGCTCTCGGTTTCAATGGTGGATCACTCCACGATGACCCTATGATGCATGCAAACACATATTCATGTTCCTTGAGTCACAAATATGTTCAATATATGGTTTTGGGGTTCGATTCGCGAAGGAATTGAGAAGGGATTAAAGGTTGAGCTCTCGGCTTAGAAAGAGAAGGAAAATGTCGAGAGATGAAGAGATGTATTTCAGAAATAGTGAGGGAGGGTTGAGTGGACTGTGGGTAGAGAGAGAGAGGGAGAGAGACATGAGATAGTGGGAGAGAGAAAAAAAATGAAAAAGAAATGATGTCTCGTGAGATAGTGGACAATTCAATATTGTTTTATTAGGGAGAGTTGAGTTCAATGAATGACGGCACAAGAGTGGGTTTTCAGAACCTAATAAAACAATATTAAATTACCCACTTGCTGCACACTTAAACCAACTTTCTTGGTTTCCAACGTACACAACCCACAAGGCTAATCCGAAAATCTGACCAAAGCAGTGGCACACTGCACAAGAATTTCGAATTTGAATTTAGCTCAGGTATTTTTACACAATTTTAAATATAACTTGTTCGTTATAAGTTCGAATAGAGTTTTGTCTGCGGTCACGTGTTCCAAAAAAATAAGTACTATTCGAAAATAGTAAAAAAGACTGGAAAAGTGAAAGAAAATTAAGGTCTGAAGGCTTACGTGGCATCTTAGGAATATTTTAATAATTTCATTATTATTAAAAATAAAATATAATAAATTTTGAGATAGGATGTAACAAATCCTCTCACCAGAACTGGACCAAAAATAAAAACGTGGACAATTTGGTAATTACGATAACACAAATTTTACCAACATCACAACCGTATGTAAATATAGCGTATCATATTTAAAATTTCAAAAATAAACCCCAATGTTCTCCTCCTCTTCATGTTTCTACGTTCCCCACGTTCTCCTACCTTTTTCTTTTGCCTTTTTTTATTTGTCTTTTTCTTTTTTAATTGTCATTCATGCTCATTAATGATAAGTCGTAGCGAAAAAAAAAAAAAAAAATTTAGTTGCGTACGTGGAGTATGTGTGCCGATTGCTAGTTTGTTTTAAAGAGCGACTAGGAGCTCCTTGCAAGTGAACTCTTATCTTAGGATATGGATATGGAGCATGATTGAAGTTGATTTTTTTTATTTTTTTTTTAAATGCTTCCTAAATTCTAGTTAAGAATTCATTTAGGGAGCCCATTGAAGATAAACGACCATCGATATGTACAACATTAAAATCTAAGATAAATTTAACAAAAGAAACTACCTATCACAAACACAAAATAGGATATACAGTTCAATTCCAGCATATAGTTAAAAGCAAAATAGTAAGGGTGCGTTTGTCACCTCCTTAGGAGGGACTGACTTGAATTGCCTTAACCGAGATTATTATCTTACGTTTGATAAGGTCTTGGACTACAATAAATGGGACTCGCCTCAACTACGAGGCCCTCCCCACTTCGCTAAAACCCATTATCTAGTCCCGTACTTTTGCTTGGAATTAAGCGGGACTAAAAGAAAATCGAGGCCGAGATCCAGACCCCAGCTTTTGCTTGCTAAACAACAACATTCAATCCTTGGGCTTCTTTCTTCTTCTGCGGCGTCATCACCGTGGCCAGCAGTTTGCGGTGCTTGTTCTTCCTTTTTCCTAAAAAAATCCCAGATGGCTAACTTTGTGGATGAATAGAAAATTTCCAAAAAACCCCTGGGCTTTGCGTTCTTCTTCTACCCATCTCTAAAAAACCCTTTTCTCTATTTCAAATAATGCTCAAAACTTTTTTCTTTCTCGATCGACACTTTGACCAACTCATCGGAAAAGGAAAATCAAGAAATTGGAAAAATTAATGGAGTTAGTCAGATAATTGATAGATATGATGATTGATTGGTTATCTAGATTATAGAGTTCAAAGGAAAGATGGGAAGGATCTGGGTTATGTAGGAAAAGGAGAAAGTAAAGGAGAGATGTGATGGAGCTAAAGAGGGGGAAGAGGAAAGAAATTTCCAGAAAGGGGTAGAGATTTTTAGAAAAAAAAGAAAAAGAAAAAAAAAGAAGATGTTGAATTAATAATGATATATTATAAGAAATGTGTTAAATAATATAATATTATAATTTGTTAATTATCTAGTTTTTTAGTTTGACGTTGTACTAAAATTTTCACTAAGTATAGTCTAAGCCAATCCAACTTGGTCCCTGAAGCTAGTCCGATACAACAAACGCATCCTAATAGTATTGGGTTGGAACTTGGAGGAAATCCTATTCATTTGTTTAAGTTAGATCCAAAGTGGTTAGATTTATATTAGACTTGTCATCTATAATATTCAAATCTAAGATATCTTATTTACATGAGAATTATTATTAGCACTCTAAAAATCTCATTTTACACTCCTTATAAGTGTATTTCTTTTTCTAATTACAGAAAATTTAGAGTACTAATTAAGATTTTTGGAGTACCAATAATAATTATCATTTACAAAAGGAATTATTAAACCGTAATATTACGAGAAAACCATTATCAGTGTGGTTCAATTCAAAGAATACGGTCAATGAAGGCGAATATTGGACCCAAATTTGGTATGGGCACGAAGGCCGTTTGATTTGTTTGGGCTTTAGGAAGCCGAAGCCCATAACAGTTCAAGCCCAATAGTTTTCTCATTCGTTATTGTTTTTCTGAATCAAGAATGAACAAGGAACGGGCTATCGGAAATATATATATTTTAAGCAAAAGCATCCAACGGTCTTTAAAATATCTCAGCAAGTATCTCAGGCGCCGTCTGAACCTTCCCAACCGGCGCGCCATGGCGGCATCTTTGGTTGCACGATCCGCCACAACCCCACTCCCACGGCACGTCGTATCGAAACCCTCTCACGCCGATCACTTCCCCAAAACGACTTTAAGCTTCGAATCTCGCTCCGGACGCCGTCGTATTGTCCTGGCCCTGGCCTCTGATCGGTCAGACGACAACACCAGCAAAATCGACTGCGGCGATCACAGAAATCCGGTTGGAGGTGCTAGGGAATTAAGGAGCGCCTTGGAGGACTTCCCCTATGACGTAGTGTCGAAAGACCTCCACACTCTGCCGAGTACCACTTCTGCCCCTTGCGACCTGCCATTGTTGTCCTTGCTCTGTAATTTTGTGGAAATCGGGTGTCATTTTTATATTTCGTTTGTTGCTTGGTTCAGGACCTTTGTCTTCGACCGACCTCTCCAATCCGGTCTCTGATGGCTCCCGCCTTCGCGTTGCGTATCAGGTAGTACTATGTAGCTGCAACAAGTATTCAATTCACACTGAAAGCAGCAAACTTTTTTTTCCTACCTGAAAGTTAGTTAAGTTAGTTATTTAGAACAACTGATATTCAAATTCTGAAATTGGGTTTGTTATAAAAAGAAAAACAATTAAAGATGGATGAACACGAACGGATTTTGATATTTATGGATGAGTGAAAGATCATGATTGTATTTTATTTTGATTAAAATTACAAAGTGCACCTGTTGTAAAAGTAGCTGACTTTATACTTATATCAGTAACTTTTATGTTGTTGGTTTTATTAGAAAACAAGCTTTGGTTGAACATTCTTCTTATATCGATAATGTTTTTATTTTTATTTTTTCAGATGAGGAGCTGTCTTACCTAAATGTGTATGACATTGTTGTTTAGTAACATTTTTTTTTTTTGTTATATAGATAGGTAAAGTTAGATTAGTAGCGGTATCCAATTTGACTTAAAACTTGCTTCTCGTTCATTGGAACAAATATGGACAGCTGAAGTCTCACCTATTGTGTTTCTTAAGTTATTAACTATCTAGATTTGATGTAATTGCTGAGAAATATATCCTTACTTAAGGCTTTTGCTATCTGAACGGTTGATATAGACCACTAAGGTCGTCATTAATTTATTGGCCTGAACTTGAGAGTCTTCAGTTTAGGTTCTCAGTGGATCGTCTTTATGTGTGTATGTATGTGTAATTAACTTGAATAATGCTAATTTTTGGCCTTAGTAATATGAGTTTGGAAGTGGTTTTAGAATGAAATTCTGACAATTGTTTTGACATAGTTGAATGTTTAAATTTCAGGGGGTTCGTGGAGCATACAGTGAATCAGCTGCGGAGAAAGCGTATCCAAATTGTGAAGCAGTGCCTTGTGAACAATTCGATGCTGCTTTTGAGGTCAATACCTACTCATTTTTCATCATCACCATCTTTTTTCTTATTGTTGGATTAAATTGTGCAATTAATTTCAGCAGCATTACATTCTATTTATATTTACAATATTTGTTGATGAATAAGACAGACTTGGATTATGGAAATAAAATGATCACCAGGCTCTCAATTATTTATTATTAAGAGAAACTACATTTGTAAAATTTTATGGATGTGGTTCTTGTAATGCACATATTTCATGAACCTGAAGCCATAGGACCTTGCCAAGTTGGGCTGCAGGCAAAATGGTTTTCTTTAGGGGCATGATTTTGGGAGAAGTAATTGATAACGTGATTTTAAAGAACAGTGAAAATTTGCTTCTCCTTTTCTTTAAATTACCATAATTTCCAATTCTGCCATAAATGTTGGCTAGAAGCCTTAAATTATTTGAAATATGGGACCATTGTGTATTCAAAATGATTAAGATTTTACGTCAATTGTTAAAGTAGGGAAGGAGCTTTGACAACATTATTTCTATGCTCTATATTTCTTCCCTTTCTTGTGTTGTTTTTTACTTGTGCATATTTTGATGGCACAAGGAGTATGGTTAGTAGTTTCGTCTCTGATAGAAACACTGTTAAAAAGTCTGAATTTTCCACGGAAGCCGGCTCGAAATATTTGATCTTAGGTGCATTTCCCTCTGGAATATTACTGTTTGGGTACGACCGGACAACTACCGATATCTAAAAATATCTGTCTATGTATTTTCAGTCTGGAATGTCGAATCTTTTGCTTCTTAATTCTTTTTCAATTCCACTCAATGCAGGCTGTTGAACGCTGGCTTGTGGACAGAGCAGTCTTACCAATTGAGAATTCATTAGGTGGAAGCATCCACAGAAACTACGATCTTTTACTCAGGCACAGGTTGCATATAGTAGGGGAAGTGAAACTTGCCGTTCGGCATTGCTTACTGGCCAACCATGGTGTTGAAATTGAAGACCTGAAAAGGGTTCTTAGCCATCCACAGGTGTATAAAGCATTTCTCCTAGATTCTCTGTTCATACTGTATTTTATCATGGTTCTCCCCTGTAACTAGTCATATTTCAGGCTCTTGCTCAGTGTGAGAACACGTTAACAAAGTTGGGATTGGTCAGAGAAGCAGTGGATGATACTGCTGGTGCAGCAAAGGTAAGCCCTTGATCAGATAGTTGGACAACTGATTTTCTTCTCAGTAAGTCCTGATGCCAAGTATACCTCACGAGTCAGGATATGCATGTAGTATTTGCTTTTGGTCACAACTCCCTGAAGAATGTGGACTTACATATATAAATTGTAACTATCTTGACTTTTTTATTAATCTAGCTGACCATGCATTTTATAAATTGTAGCATGTTGCTTTCCACAAATTGAAAGATACAGGAGCTGTTGCCAGCTCAGCTGCTGCAGTCATATACGGTATGCAAATACTTGCGCAGGATATTCAGGTTTGTCTCGGAGAGCATTTGGTGTTTTCATGACTTATGCCGCACTCTCGTGGTTACTTATTTGAAATGTACAGGATGATTCTGACAATGTTACTCGGTTCCTAATGCTTGCAAGAGAACCAATTATTCCTGGCACAGATAAGCCATTCAAGGTTAAGCCCTTTCAAGATTAACAAGTTTTGGCTGTTGTATTGTTTACCTCCTTTTTGTAAATTGATTTTTTTTGTTTTGTTAATAACATGGTTATTGGATTTTAGACAAGTATAGTCTTCTCACTAGAGGAAGGTCCTGGGGTCCTTTTCAAGGCACTTGCTGTTTTTGCTTTGCGTCAAATCAATCTTACGAAGGTGGGTCCTGGGGCTTTTCCTTTCCCTGTGCCCTTCCTATAGTTTGTTTTGCAAGTGTGGTGCACCTAACAATTACTGAATTTGTTTCGTTAACCAGATTGAAAGCCGTCCTTTGCGTATGCAGCCCCTGCGAGCATCTGATGATAGTAATGGTGGATTATCAAAGTAAATACAGTAACCATATCAACTGAATTATACGTCCATGTTAATGAAATACACACTCACACAGAGTCTATGGCATGAATATTATTGACAGGCCTCAATTCCCTACCCAATTTGATTTTGGCACCAATACATAACTGTTTTGATCTATTTAAGAGTTGTCTAGTTTCACCTTTTACATTTTTCCTGATCATGCCCCATATTTTCTTACAGATACTTTGACTATCTTTTTTATGTGGATTTTGAAGCATCAATGGCTGATCAGAGTGCACAAAATGCCCTTCGGCATCTGAAGGTTTTTGTTTTTGTTTTGCTTATCTTATGTTTAGGGCGGTTTTAGCTTTAGTTGAACAATTTCTTTAAACTACGAAGGAAATAAATCTTAAAACAATATACATTTCCTTGCAGGAGTTTGCCACATTCTTGCGGGTGCTAGGGAGTTACCCAATGGATACAAGCATGACATGACTGACTGACCGACCTACATTGTGGTAAGAAACTTGTGAATCTATCATACTTATTATACACAAAGTTTGAATCCCAACAAGCTTTAGTAGCACCACAAAGTCACACAATAAAAACAAAATCAAGACTGTATAGTCTTCACATTTCGTTTTGATACTTATCATTTCAAAGTGTTACCGGCAATTATAAGAAACTTCCTCCAATTTCAGTGTTTTTCTTCTCGGTGCAAGTGGTACAAATTACAATACATGTTAGTTGAAATTTTGTCACTGCCATCTTTCTTCTTTGTTTTTATATTCCATAGATGTCCAAGTTCAAATAATTGATCGTATGCATCAATGTTTTTAAGTATGTTATTGTAACTATTAAATCTACGTTTGCATAAAAAGTTCGTGTAATTTTTGGAAACGGATAGAAGTTCCTTATAATTTTCCTAAACCTGGATGTAGCTTGATGTAATTACTCTACATAAATATTTACAACAGAGACTGTGTAAAAGAAAGCAGCAAGTGTATTTTTTCTTCTTAATAGCGACCGTCTGATGTACTTTCATTCTGATACTATTTTTTTCTTTATTGATCGCTGGTGTTGCTGTACAGGGTTTATATTTTCGAAAAGGTTGATTTTCGTTGCGCAGTTTTATCTTCCATTATTGTCAAATTTGATGAAAATTTACCAAATAACAGCACAAAATTTCTAAAGTTCGTTTTACTCGCTGTTATGCGTCCATGCAAGTACAGAAGTTGGGAAATATCTTGTATTCTCTTACATTTTTTTTCTTTTCTTTTAATTGTGGGAACTACCTTAAGAACTACCTAGGTTTTCATTTCATTAAATTTCCCGGTTCTTGAAAATTCAGTTATCTCCCACCCCAGCATCATTTTCTTCTCAGTTTTTGTTATGGTGAATGCCGTCCGTATGACGGCTGTAATTTCTACTTCTGACGTCAACAGTTTTATTGAAATGTACGGCGAGTTGAATACCGATCAAAATCCATGTGGCTGGGACAATGGAAGATATAAATCGATAAATATTTCATACACCAATGGATGTTATTGCGAGATGTATTCCCCTGTATTCTACCATTCTGTTTGTAAAAATTCCCTTTAATTTGTTTTTATATAAAATGGTTGCATTTTAATCAAATAGAAGAAGGAACTTGCCAACCACAAGTTATTATTAACGTGCCTTGAATTGCAAGTAAAATGCCCCAAAGTCACAGGGCTTGTTATGAAGTACGTTTAAAATGACAAAACGTTTTTAGTGAAAATGTTTTGGAACTAGTCCTTAATACAAGTGCAAGTTATGTGGCTGTTGTGGGAACATAGAAACCTCTTCTCTAAAAGCATTTTCAGTTGTTTTAAAATTACTCCCAAACAAGCCTTATGGCTGGTGCGCCATAGTTTCCATTTTTCATTTCTCCCCTTGCATCCTGGTCATTTTCTGGAAGTGATCCAAAGCCTGAGGCGCCAGAAGTCAGTTCACCTGGGGCCATTGATGCTGCCAATTACCGGAAGATACATCATATGGTGGGTGCGCTGCCACACCGCACACTGAGTCGTGTAGCCAAGAAGCATGGACCCTGTTATGTACCTTAAACTGGGTCAGTTAGATGCTGTGGTCATTTCATCCGTCAACGCCTCCGGGAGGTGTTCAAAATGCATGAGCTTACATTTACTCAAAGGGCTCTGGTTTTGGCAACAGAGGTTATGTCCTTTAGGTCAAGGGAGTATTTTCTTTGCTCTTATGGACATTTCTGGTGGAAGCTGAGAAAGATTTGTTTTTTCGAGCTACTGAGTGAGAAGCGTGTGCAGTCGTTCAGTCCGTAAGAGAAGAAGATGCGCGGAATTTTGTTGAGTCCATTGAATCAATAACTCACAAGGGAGTTGCCTTCAATTTAAGTGACAGGTGCAGCAGCTTCACAAGTGCCTGTAGTGTCAAAAGGCAGCATTTGGGAAGAAATGCAAAGACCAAAAGGAGTTCCTTTCGCTACTAGGCGAAAGCATCAAACTTGCTGGTAGATTTTACATTGCCGATTTGTTTCCTTCATTCAGATTTCTTGAGTTCGTTACTGGGACGATCCTTGCTATGAAAGACATACAAGAAAGCTCAGTACAATTTTCGAAAGTATCCTCGACAATCAAAAGGTCAAAAGATCCAAAAAGAACGAGATGATCACTAGTACTAGTACCAGTACCACTAGTACAACAGGCAACGACAGAGCGGAGGAGGACGAGGATGTCTGAGGAGGAAGATTTTGTCAACGTACTTCTAAGACAGCAGAGTCCATCAGACGGGGTTCAATTTCACAACCAATCAGATCAAGCTACTGCCATAGAATAGGCAATGACTGAGTTGGTGAAAACCCCAAAAATCATGGAGACGGCCCAAGCTGAAGTGCGACAATTAGTTGAAGGAAAGAAAAGCAAAAAATGGACCACTTGAAATCAGCGGTGAAAGAAACTCTTGAGGTTCCACTTTTGCAGTCCCTTTGATCCCACGAGAAGCAAGGTAAAAGTGTTGAATCGCCGGATACAAAATACCAGCTACATCAAGAGTGATCATCTGTTGAGTTTAAGGGTTTCGAGTTAATGGCCGCCTTAATCCAAGCACAAAACCATATTACAGAGAAGAGTAGAAGAATTGGAAGTCATGTAGGGAAAAGTTCAGAAAGAAAAGGCATGAGAGAGAAAGAGTAGGTTGATGAAACCACATAAACAATAAGGTAACCTTCAAATCCATATTACCCAGTTACATCAAGCTGTGTTTGTCTACTGTAACGTTCATAACTACCATCATTACCGGCGGCAACCCTCATTTCACCTCCCAGAAGCTGTCCCTGCACCAGCACCACCAGCACCACCAACTACCTGTCACAATTACCACAAAACCGGACAATAAACCCTCCGGCAATACGAGAAAGCACTCATGAAGATTATATATAAACATTCATACTTTCATGGTATCAAAGGGGCAGCAACTTCAAACTTCATTGTCACATATGCAAATCAACTTCACCATGGTCGTTTTATAAATGCTACCAAAGCATGATCCACTTAATTGTTACACAATTAATCAACAACCATTTCCGTAGTCGATGCATCTACAGAGAAACCCCTCTCCACCATTTCTGTGCATCTTTTATTCTCCCCATCTTGCAAAAGCATCCATAAGAGTGTCGTAAGCAACTGTATCCGGAACAACTCCCATATCACACATCTCCAGAACAAGCATTTGGGCCTCATCTACCCTTTTATGCTTGCAATAGCCATTTATCAGTACGTTATAACTACGAGCATCAATCATGGAGCCCTTGCTAAGCATTAGATCAAAGACTTCTTTTGCCTCATCCATTTCTCCTCGCAAGCAATAACCATCCATGAGCGAATTGGCAGTAACCGTATTAGGTTCAATATCTCCTAGAGTCATCATTTCTACCATGTTTTTAGCTTTCCCGACCAAGCCCTCCTTGTAGAATGTATCAATCAAGACATTGAAGGTATGCAGATTTGGAAGGATACCTTTGCTCACCATTTCATCAAACAATCTCGCAGCTTCTTTCCGCTCCCCTAATTTGCGTACTTCATGAATCAAAGAAGTATAGGTAATGACGTTGAGAGCAATACCTTTATCGTCATTTCTGAGGAGGGCTTCAAGAAGAAATTGTTAGTGGTTAGAGGTGTGGTTAGAGGCCGGTGCCATAACAAGAAGAAATAGTCCGCAGCATCTCTGTGAGTTCCAGCGAAAATTGAGTGGTTAGAGGTGTGGATGGAGGTTGAAAGGCCACAAGGGAATCCATTTCTATATTTTGTACAGGCTAAAGGCCCTTAATGTGTTAGGAAAAAAAAAAAATTTGTTAGTTTTCCAAATCTTTTGAGAATAGTGAGGAATATCTTAGGGACGGTTTTATAGCCATTTTATACTAATGTCCGAGAGAGAGAGAGAGAGAGAGAGAGGGTTACGATGAATAAAACGATAATTCACCCCCCTTGTTTGCCACCGGAATTCAAGATTGCAGGTTCTCTGTCAACAATAAAGATGCATCCATGTCACAACTCAACTGCAAAAACTAAATAATTCAATTTGAAATAAGAGGGAGTTATAACATCTTGAAAGGGGATAGAAACTGCTTCTCATGAGCAATTATCTTTACTAATTAATAAAGCTCTCTTTGTCAATCAAAAGAGGATGAAAAGACAAATTAGTTTTCTATTGCACACAAAAACATGATGGGCAATAATGTAATTTCATAGGTCCAAATTTTACTGTTTTTATTGAAACCTCATCTACATGTGATATTAAAATACCTTCAATATTAAAAAAAATAAAAATAATTAAAAAACCAAAAATAAAAACCTCCCACCCCCCACATTTTCTCTCTCCCTCTCTCCTTCTACAGACAAAATGTGTAGGCAAATGCTAGTATTCCTATAAAGACATGTTTTTGTCTCCCTTCTCAGTTTATGTTGTTCATTACGTGCTCGTCCTATTGAGAACAACGACTACGTTGAAACAAAGAGAAGAGAAGATCAAAGTTTGAACTGAATCACGTTGAGTTCTTTTGCAGTTACGGACTAATATCAATCTAGGTTAATTTTTTAAGGAAAACTAATGAAAAGAGCCTGAAAACTTTGAGTTTTAATAATAAGAACAAAATAAAAGGTAAAGTGAATAGTACCAGGATTGACTTTTTAGTGTAAAAGTTTTTTTTTGTTAAGTTTCTTATTTTTTATTGGATATTATGACTAGTTGAGCATGGTTTAATGGCTTTGTTGGTTTTGATACGGCTCAGTAGTGTTGATATTTGGTTTTCATGTTGAATCAGAACCAATCAATCAAAGCATTAAACTCGTTATTTACACTGCATTTTATTTATCCAATAATTCTGCATGCTTAGTATTGTATCGTTTGTCGTGATGTTCATATTAACTCTCAATCATTTTCGTCTTGTAAAAAATCGTCCTTATAACTAATCATTGAGTTCTGTCTTGTCATCAGGATAATGGATTGGTTTTTTGTTAATATGGATGATATTGTAGACCATAATTCTGCATGGTTCGTATTATATCGTGTGCATGAACATCCTAAATATATTGAAAAATATATGCAATATATACATATACATATACATATATATATAACAGTAAAACTATATAATAATATACTGGAGTTTATGCATTATGATGAATGCTTTTATGTAATCGGAGGTTGATAAAATATCAATCTGTGTTTTAAAAGTACATGAGTTGCTGGAAACAAAAGAAAGCTTTTGAATGTTAGTTTTAGAAGATCTTTCTCCAATGTCGGATTTTCATCTTTAATGTATTGTATCACGTTTAACATAAAAGAAGAAATTGAATCAACATCAAGTATATTACTTTAATAAAAATAAAAAATTAATCATAGTGTGAATAATTGAAACCTGATACTCTTCGGATTGAAAATTGACAAACTCTTTTTAATGCAGCGCACAGAACGTAGCCTATTTTACCAAGGAATTTAATACAAAGAGAGGGAAGGCAAGCAGAGAGAAAATAGAGAATCAGGTGGATTATGTAGTGTGATTTTTCATACTTTATTATAGTCGTAAAGAAGGAAGAAAACATTACAATCAGGAAATTATCTAAAAGATATTATAAAATCCCATAAAAATATACTCGAATTTACACAATTACATTCTTAACTAAATTAAAACTGTAACATTTTTTAATTAATACTAAAATTTAATATTTGTCTATTAATTAAAATATTTAAACTAACATGTTCACTTTAACGAAGATAGGGACCTTTAACGAAATTTTTTGATACTATCTACTTTAACAAAAAAAAGAAAAAAATCACATTTTTGCACTAAAAAATTAATCATATACTATTCACTATGTTTATTTTGTCTCTAATATATTCAACTCCACAACGGGGCCTGAAAGTGGTGCGATTTCTCCCGATTCCATTGGCAGTTGCCAAAAACAAAGCGAAAACCCGGAAATGAAAGTCTACGAATAACGCACTTCCAGAACACACTCTCTCAGATAGAGGCAGTTTCAGATCTGAACGAGGAGTTTCGGATCCGGAGGCAAAGGGAAACGAGCCGAGAAAATGGAGAAGTTCATCGACAACTTACCCGCCATGGATCTGATGCGCTCCGAGAAGATGACCTTCGTCCAGCTCATCATCCCCGTCGAGTCCGCCCACCGCGCCATTTCTTACCTCGGTGAACTCGGCCTCCTCCAATTCCGAGACGTAAGTTTTCGGAAACTCAGATCCGACTCGGTCTTTCGTGAATTCGGTTTGATTTGGCATTGTTCAGTAACGGGAAGTTGGGATTGATTGATTGGCTTAGGATTGATGATGATTTTTACATCAGCTTGTGCGAACGGGTGTTCTAAGTTGTTGAGTTGAGAGCGGGAGTTAGTAATTGAGGAACTTAATTTTAGAATTCATGATTTATTTAGTTGAATTCATCTTAAAGTTTGATTTTTTGGGGGGAAAGATTGCGGATTTAGATTGATCTTAATCGGAACACACACACACATTGTATTTGATCGCTTTTCGTTTTCATTTTCTTATGCTGGTAATACTTTAGATATCGGTGTGCTGCATGAATTTCACTGAGGGGTTTCCATGGATGCCAATTGTGCTTGATATTAAGAAGAATAATAACCCCTGCATCCCAACTGATGATTTCTTGTGTAGGGTTGAGAAATGCTCAGTTTGTGCTAAGTTGTTGATTAAGAGACCCTCTCCGTAAGGATAGAAGATCATTGTGTACGATATACAGCCGCATGTTTTTCTTACTTGGATTAATTTCCTTTTAATTTAAGTTTGTGTACTTGTCATTTGTCAATATTAAGTTTCTATACCAGCTTACTCTACTTACAATTAGATTTTAGTGATTATAATTTTAGATCTTTATTCCATTTGAGTTGACCTAAGGCCTTTATGTTTATATCCTATTATCATTTAGATCCGGTTAGCTAACTTCATGTGATTGACAAAAGTAATAAAGTACTTTGGGTCTGTGAGACATTAGAACCATTGTGGCTTTGGCTCAATTGCTATGGGTTTTGTGAATACCACACCTCCTTTGCTATGGGCTCAATTGCTATGGATTCACATTTCCTAGTTGCCAAGTTTTACCGATTTTCGGAATTGATTTTTTTTACAAGCCTAGTTTTCCCAAAGGTTTTATCCTGTCATGTAGATGATTCCCTGCACATCCACATGTATTTGTCGAACTAATTTGAATTATAATCTTTTTGTATCTAGGTTTTTCTCTATCGATCATGTAATTAGAGTTATTTGGGTCCCCATATATTATGCAATTAATTTTGTGGATAATTTGAACAATTAGCTATACACGTTATATTTCCAAATGTTATAGGAAAATTGAGGATGTACATGGTTGGTTGTTAATATTTTAGAAGTATATTATGCTCATAGTCATAACTAATAAGTGGTTTAGGAGTTTATTTGTCGTTATCTTTAGAGATTTACTGGGCTTTCTGTAGCACCTAACTATTCTAAGACTTCAGTTGGACATTGTCAAAATTTATCTTAGTCATTCCATATGTTTTTTGATTTTAATAGCAGTAGCCAGGAAAAGAAAAAGCAAAATCCTGAAACTGAAAACTTTAAAACATATGATGTCCAAATTATAAGTGGTTTGAGAATTCTTTTGTTGATAAAGCTTCAAACCACACGTGGTCTAAATGGTAAGTGGCTTGAGAATTTTTTTTGATATATCTCTTTGAAATCAAAGAATGTACCGGACCATTTGAAGACTTAGAAATAGTTAGTGAAATTTGTCTAGTTTGACCTCTGTTTTCAAGGCTTGAACCTGAATAATTCAAAACCACAGCAGCTTGCAATGTAATAGGAGAAAGAGGATATAAATTCCAAGTTTTAAAGAACCCAATGCCCATGAGGAAGAGAAATGATTTTAACATTCCCGTTTTCTCCTTGTGCAGTCCTCCCTCTTTTCCTAACCTTAGGATTGAATAGAACAATGAAGAATCAACTGACATAAAAAGGAAAGGAGTGTAGAAGGAGAAAATGGGAGTGTGAAATGGAATAGTACTTAAAACTTTCCTCCATCTCCTTAACTGGTTATGTTTAAGAAAATTCTAATCACAATCATTAATGATGCCAAACTGTTTTAAGTTTAGATTATGAAGTAGTGTTTGGCTATTCATACTTTCCTGTGACTGCAACAAAGAGAGCATATAATGTAGTTTTTAGCACTATATGGTGTGTTCCCAGTTTCTGCTTTGCTCTGCTCTGTTTTTACTATTTGTTGGTGAAACACCTAGATTGTGTATTGGATATAAGCAATGTTATGATAGCATTGAGATTATTGGTTATTTATTTTCTGGTCTCTGCACAAACATATAAGTTCTTCAAATGAATATGCAATATAGTCCTTTTTTCTAATTTTGGTATCTACTGATTGTCATATTTCTTTTCCTCTCTTTTATGTTTTTGCAGTTAAATGCTGATAAAAGTCCTTTCCAACGAACATTTGTTAATCAGGTATATACTCGGATTTGATTAGAACTACAATTGCATTGCAACCTGAATGTTTAGGACTGCAGCATCAATCTTTCTTGAATTGTGGTGGAAGATTTTGCTAATTTAATATTTTAATGTTTAAATCCTTAAATTTCTGATGTTTTAGAGCCTTTATGCTTTCAGTTTTTAGCGTGCAATGTGCATATTCTTAAATCCTGGGAAAATAAAACCTATACCCCCCTCAACTTTGTGTTCTGTTCCAATTTGTTCCCTGAGAAAATGATTCGTTCATTTGCCCTCTGTTTTGTGAATTTGTTGCAATGTGGCTTTTGTGCAACCTCGTCCAAAATTCTTTAAAAATGTGGAAGTTTAATGCAAGGGCACTGACAGAATCTTGGACGGGGGTTGGACGGAAGATCTACATTGCAGAAAACTCATAATATACTGGGTAATTGAGTCCACGTCTTTTTAGGAAATAAAGCAGGATCGATTCCAAAGTTGAAGGGGCATAGGTAAATTTTTACCGTATGATTGTAAATTTAAATGCCTGGTCTTTCCACTTCTCAGTGTACTGTGTATGACATGTTTTCATAACTTCATTATTCAACATTAAGACTCGATTGTGCATGCCCCCTTTACTTGTTATTTACCAGAAGATAGAAAGGTATGGATCTTACACTAGAATAGTATTCTATGTTAATCCTATTCTCTGCCTAGAATCTGTGCAAATTACTCTGTATAGTTGACCTCTTTATATTCTCAAAGTGACGAAATTTGGAAGTTGGAATTTAAATTCTTAGAAGCTGGTGATTGTAGTTTTATTCTTATAATTCTATTGTTGATAGTGGTGGATCACGGTAATCAATTGTCATTAATTTTTGTTGTATATCCTCTTGAGGAGTTCCGCAGGTAAAGCGATGTGCGGAGATGTCAAGAAAGCTGCGGTTTTTCAGAGATCAAATTAGTAAAGCTGGTCTACTTTCATCTGTACATCCTGTTTTACAACCAGATATTGACTTAGAGGAATTAGAGGTTTGTTTCTATATCAGCGCTCTTGCATTTGTTCGTAATCCGAAAATTAAACTCCAAAATTGCACCGACCAATTGTGCCCTTGTTTAGGGAGCATTTGATTCAGTAAACTTGATAGTCTGAATTGTACGTTGCATGAATCATTTCCAGATACAATTAGCTGAGCATGAGCATGAGCTTATTGAGTTGAACTCTAATAGTGATAGAATTCAACATTCATACAATGAACTCCTTGAGTACAAGATGGTATTGCAAAAGGTAACTGGCTTTATCTTCTCCCTTCAGTATTCGTGATGTATTAGCAGCCTTTTATCAGCTTCCCTTTCTTTTAGTATATTTCATTAGGTGCCTCTTGTGCATGCATGTGTTGTGTTGTTTGAAGCTTGGCCTGTGGTCAGGTTTTCTCCAATACCATTTCGTTCATGAATCTCCTGTATATTGAATTTATTACTTTTAGAAAAGAATTAATTATAAAATCTTACTCCCTTATTCTAGTTTCAATGCTTTTTCTGTGCCTTCCTATATGTTGAAGCCCAATTTTAGAATGAATCAAATTATGATTCATGAACCCTTACTCCCTAATTCTAATTTCATATGCTTTTATTCGGCGTCTTCTTATATAAATTTATGTGGACATTTTCAGGCAATTGGCTTTCTTGTTTCAAGTAATAGCCATGCGGTTTCGGAGGAGAGGGAACTAGATGAGAATATTTACCCAAATGATCATTATGGTGATGAAGTTTCATTACTTGAGCAGGTACTTGTTTATTATCCCTTACTAGCTTTGATGTGCTTTTGGTGCAAAACCTTTTACTGTGGTTTCATTTATAATTGATTTTGTATTTTACAGGATATTAGACCTGGACCATCAGACCAGTCTGGTTTGAGATTTGTTAGTGGAATTATTTGTAAATCCAAAGCTCTTAGGTTTGAGAGGATGTTGTTTCGTGCGACAAGGGGCAACATGCTTTTCAACCATGCCCCAGCAGATGAACTGATGATGGATCCTTTATCTACTGAAATGGTTTTTTTTTTCCTGCCTCTATAAAAAGTATTACTTATTTATTTTTCGTGTGGTTTCTCTTAGTTTTTATTATTTGTAGAATGAGAATGTTGATGCACTTCTTTACTAATTCCTCAAAGTTGTGCAGGTTGAGAAAACAGTGTTTGTAGTGTTCTTCTCTGGGATGCAGGCAAAAACAAAGATTTTGAAAATTTGTGAGGCCTTTGGTGCAAATTGCTATCCTGTTCCTGAAGATATAACTAAGCAGAGGCAAATAACTAGAGAAGTATATATTCTGTTAAGAATGTTGGAAGTTCATTTATTTTTATATTGGAGACAAGTTTCAAGCTTTAATATGTTTCAACGTGTTTTTTTTTTGTATCTGATGTGTGTTTGATGGCATCATTAGCAAGGACTCCCTCTAATATTTTTTGTGGTGTTTAAGCCTATACTTGCAGGCCGTGCTAATTGTAACAACAGAAGCTCTATTCTGTTTTGTTGAAAGTTCAGGTTTTGTGTTGCAGGTTTCATCACGTCTTGCTGAATTGGAAACGACCTTGGATGCAGGGATTCGTCACAGAAATAAGGCCCTTGCATCTATAGGGTTTCACCTAGCAAAATGGATGAACATGGTAAGAAATTTCTGCGGCTTGTCCCTGGTTAACTGTTATTTCTGACAAAAAATATTTTGCTAATGTATGACTAATGGCTGCGCGAGTGATTTAGTTTTATCCTGACAACTTTGTCATGTTTTCTACCCTCTCTCCTAGGTAAGAAGGGAGAAAGCTGTATATGATATATTGAACATGCTAAACTTTGATGTTACAAAAAAATGTCTTGTTGGAGAGGGCTGGTGTCCTATATTTGCAAAACCTAAGGTAACTTGTGTTGCCTTCTTCATCAAACTTTTTTGTTATAAAGCGGGTATAATATATCAAGTTCTATATTTGCAAAAACTGAGGTAACCTATATGTTTTATGGTTCAACAGATTCAGGAGGCACTGCAACGTGCTACATTTGATAGCAATTCGCAAGTGGGAGTAATATTTCATGTGATGGATGCAATAGATTCACCTCCTACATATTTCAGAACCAACCGCTTCACAAGTGCATTTCAGGAAATTGTTGATGCATACGGGTTAGTTAAAATATGCTGCTCACCACTTTCTTCTGTTTTTTGAAAGGACATTGGCTTTAAATTGATGCTTCATTTTCCTTGTAAGTGATGGGTATTCGGGATTAAGAATTACATTCTGTTTTTACATGGTTCACAACTGGTAGGTGTTTATGGTCGACGCATTTGGAAGGAAGCCAATATGCTGGTACAATTGATTTAGTACACATCATAGTTATTTTCAGTTGACATTTGAACTAAGAAGTAGAAAATATCTGATGTACAACGTACTAAAGGGTGGAGCTTTGATTGCTAGGGTTTTGTTTAGGTATGGGATGGGAGGGAGGGGGAGGTGGTGATTTTGCTGCAAATTGTGAAAGAAAATATGATTAGGCAACAATTCTCCTCTTTAGTAGCAGTTCTGTTAGCATTTTTCATACCCTTATGAAAATTGTAAGTGAATCAATTTAAATAAATCAACCCAATAGTTGTTTTCCGGAATGGTTTGTCAAAAACCCAATAGTTGTTTGACTGACCAGCAATACTGGAATTGTGGTCTAGCAATAGAACTGATATTTGTCTAAAAATTTGGCAGTGTTGCAAGATATCAAGAAGCCAACCCTGCAGTTTACACTGTTATTACATTTCCATTTCTTTTTGCTGTGATGTTTGGTGACTGGGGTCATGGAATATGCTTATTGCTTGGAGCATTAGTTCTTATAGCTCGTGAAAGTAAACTCAGAGCGCAGGTGTGTCCTTACTATCCAAAGACATTTTATTTGATTGTAATGAATCATTATTGCTATGGTTAATGAAAAATATAAAATATTATTCTTCTCGATGCTTCAATCATGAACCATTTTCCAGTTCACAAATGTTGACTATTAGCTTCTATTAAAAATTTAAAAGTACATCTTTTGCACTCTCCGGAAGCAGTTGAATGATATGTTGTAATCCTAACCACTTTCACTATCGACCTGAGCTTTTTCATGGCTGCCAATGTTACTGTGTCTGTATTATTCAGCAAAAGAAACAGCGATAGCCACTATCAATATAACAGAGCCTGCATTTATTGGGGTCCAAGGCAACACTGCAGCTATGGTTTAGTTAGCAACCTACCACCAATATGATATCTTGACTTAGATTTGCATATCCCGCGTCTTGGCCATTCTTATAGAGGTACCGATGATACAGCAAAATAATAAAAGCAGTAACAGCAGCAGTGGTAATAATATATTTTCTATGGGAGCAAGTAGGATAAGCTTTCATTTCTTATCAAGTGAGTTGCTGAAACTATCTCTAGTACCAGTAGCTATTGTTTGAGAGGAATGACCCTAAAAGGACAAGGACTTGATGATAATGCTGTGATCTTTGAACACATGATTTTGATGTTTCAATTTTCGTCTTAACGAAAATATTCTTGTGTCTCAAATGCAAGGAAAAAACATGCATTTAACATGTGAAATAGAAATATAAAATTGTCTTTCAAACGTTTATTAACGAAAGTTATCATATTATTTCCTACCAGAAACTTGGGAGCTTTATGGAGATGTTATTTGGTGGGCGATATGTACTACTCTTGATGTCCCTATTTTCAATCTACTGTGGGTTGATTTACAATGAGTTCTTTTCTGTTCCTTTTCACATATTTGGCGGGTCTGCTTACAAATGTAGAGATACTGCTTGCAGGTAGTCTCTCTATTTTAAGTCTTCTACTCTACAATTGTCTTAATATGTTGTATCTTGTATTAAGGTCACCTTCAACTGGGTTGTATGTTTCACAGTGTACCGCTCTGTTCTATTCTTTTAGAGAATTGAGGTTTCTGGAATCTATGTGCTTATACCTGTCTGCTGTTGCACTGCTTGCATTGGCTTAATTACAGATCAATGCTTATAGAATTTTCAATATTTTCCGTGTAATCTGAAACTATCAAAGTATTTACAAAAATTAATTCATTAATCTAAAGTTATGCTTCACCATTGTTTTGGATGGATTTGGGGTTTCATTGCCTCCTCCAGGGGTCATTTCTAAGGCTGAAAGGGGTCATCCCTTGTTTGATCCATGGGGGTTCTCTCCACTTTGATTGTTGGAGTTTGGTGGTGTTCTTTTGGAGTTTTTGTCTGGGCCATGGTGCACTATTGCTGTGTCCTACAGAATGTCCAACTGGTTAATGTGCGTCACTGTGGCACTTGCACTCCTTTCTCCCTTTTACACCCCTGCACTTCTGTTCAAATCTATTACTGACTTTTGATATACTTAATTATAACTGTTATTGGTTAAGCATTTCTAGCGTTCTATTTGTTTGACATTTTCTCTCTCACTTTTATGTGTAACACTTGAAAACTATCCCATCTTTTATGATAGATAAATTTATGACTTTCCTCAGAAAACTGTATACTTATCATCAATTTGTCTTCTTGTGAGCAGTGAGGTGCACACTATTGGCTTAATCAAGTACCGAGATCCATACCCATTTGGTGTGGATCCCAGTTGGCGTGGAAGTCGTTCTGAACTGCCTTTTCTGAATTCTCTCAAAATGAAAATGTCAATTTTGTTGGGTGTTGTGCAAATGAACTTGGGAATACTACTAAGTTACTTCAATGCAAGGTTTTTCAGCAGCTCGCTTGATATAAGGTGCTTCTCTGCTCTTCAAATGATTTATTTTATTTTATTTTTTTTCATTTTGCCATGTGTTTTACACTTTTACTTCGAAATGAAGTGTACACAAGTTTGACTTATTCTCCATCCTGTTAGGTACCAGTTTGTCCCACAGATGATCTTTCTTAACAGTCTTTTTGGATATCTTTCACTTCTTGTTGTCATCAAGTGGTGCACGGGATCTCAGGCAGACCTCTATCATGTAATGATTTACATGTTTTTAAGTCCAACTGATGATCTTGGTGAAAATCAATTATTCTGGGGCCAAAGACCACTTCAGGCATGGATTCTGCTCCTCTTTTTTTGTTACTTTGTATGTGCAACTTCTTATGTTCGTATTGTGGTTAACAAACCTCTGGTTTTGCAGATCATTTTGTTGCTTTTGGCTTTAATTGCAGTTCCATGGATGCTCTTTCCAAAACCTTTTATTTTGAAGAAGCTTCATACGGAGGTACTGTGGAGTAACTTGCTTAGGCATTTGTTCTTGAGTTTTAAGATGGCAGTGGGATAAAATTACTAGTAAAATTCTCTTTGACGTTTCTGCATTTTTAAATATTTTTAAAATTTGATTAACTAGTAATTAGTATAATCAACTGGTTATGGGGGACTCAGTTTACTTATGAGAGGTATACTTGTCTTCGACTCACATAGGTATTTGAGGCGAGATATAAGGAGCTTGAGAAGATATGATACGTAATGTTTTTCATATATTTGTTTCCAGAGGTTTCAAGGTCGTGCGTATGGGATGCTTGGCACCTCAGAGATGGACCTTGAGGTGGAACCTGATTCTGCTAGGCAACGTCACGAAGAATTTAATTTCAGTGAGGTATTTGTACACCAGATGATACACTCCATAGAGTTTGTTCTGGGTGCTGTTTCAAATACGGCTTCATATCTACGACTATGGGCTTTGAGGTATACCTATATTTATTTTTCTTCTTTTTCTGTGGTTTTCTTTCATCTATGGGGTAGCTTTCGTTTCATATCTGTTCCTGCTATTACAGCTTGGCGCACTCAGAATTGTCAACCGTTTTCTATGAGAAAGTTCTCCTTCTTGCTTGGGGGTGAGTTCCAACCCTCTAATTCTTTATCGTTGCATACATGTGCATATGAATGGTAGTTCTCCTCTTTTTTTTTCCTGCTCTTTGGACACACGAAACCTAATCCAGGTTGTAGTCTAGATCTACTGCGATATTTGAAGGGTCACACATTATGGAGCTCCAGAGTTTGATTCCCACCCCAAAATCCTCTCCCCGGGCCTTAACTACATACTAGCCGTAATCTTACTATTGCATTTTCCTCAGTTTCTTAGTGAGCATGTTATTTGTCTCACCGTCTTATAGGCTTACTCAAGATCCTTTTTTCCATCTGGCACTGTACCATATTTTAATTCTAATTTGGCTAGCCATTCCCCAGTGTGACACAGACTGTATTGCATTTGATGCTGCACATATTGGTCAATTATTAACGTAATTCTGAAAATTTATAACAGTTATGACAGCTTCATTATCCGGTTAATTGGGTTATCAGTTTTCGCCTTTGCAACTGCATTCATACTACTCATGATGGAGACACTAAGTGCTTTTCTCCATGCCCTGCGTCTTCATTGGGTAGAATATCAAAACAAATTCTACCACGGAGATGGCTACAAGTTTAAACCTTTTTCCTTTGCCTCCATAACCGAAGATGAAGATTAGTCCACTTGTATGTCAGTTTTCGTGTTCTTCGGAAGGAAAGGTATTTAGCGCAAAGAAAGGCAGAGCTCTATCTCCAGCCTGAAATGGAATTTGAGAGAGCCATATTTCCTCTCAGGCGGCATAGAGGAGGAAGATGCGCGATTTTGACCTAGAAATGTAAAGTCGTGGCTCATATTCTTCGGTGTAATATTGGTACAAAAGGTTCCAGATAAGAGTCGCGGTTAGTTCCCTTCATAGATGTAGTTACTTTGTCTTGTATTTCGTTTATATCTAATCGAGGAGGGAAATTAGATTCACCGATTGTAAAGAGGAGCTGGGGAATCGTCTTACAGTGTAGCTTTTACGGGACTTTAGTTTCTTTAGCTTACACACACATGCACAGTAAGTGCGGATTTTGCTGGGAATTGGTCCTGGACCCGTTACACTTTCATGAAAAATCACAGATTCAAGGGAATCGGTTTTGTAAGGATATGTATAATTTGGATAAGGGGTGTGCTATCCACACACCTATTTTACTTCTCACACACCCCTTGATAATTTATGTTCGTTGATCTTCTTCAATTCATCCGATTCGACGGTCGAAAATTAGAAGGGTGTGTGATAAGTAAAATGGGGTGTGTGTATATCACATCCCTTTGGATAATTCCAATCTCAAATAAATCTTATTTCACCTGAAAATTGATAGCTTATCGTATTTGTCCATTCTTAGTAGTGACCAAAAGGTCATGGATTCAAGTTGTGGAAACACTTGTTGCAAAACAAGGGTAAAATTGCGTATAATAGACGTTCCTTCCAAACTCGTAAGTTTCATGAGAAGTCATGCATGCTAGTTATAACCAATGAGTTTCGTATCTGGACCGAGGCGTATTTGTTGGCACCCAACTATATAGTTGACATTCACTGTCAATCCAGTGTTATGGGTACAGTCTCTCTTTCGTTTAGTAAAGTTTAAAGCAATAATATCGTTTATATTAAAAAAATGTTCATGACCCTTTAGTTTTAACCAACTCATTTAAAATGAAAAGGAATTTGAAGCGAACCGATGCCTCCATCAAGTCGCGACTTGTGATTGCAAAGCTCATCTCTTTCTTCATTTCCTTCATACTCTAAATTTAAAAATTTTACGAAATTCATAATTCTTAATTGGTGAAACAGATTGGGTAATTTCAATGATTAATTTGTATGCTGTGTTCTTTAGCTTAACGGGTTGTGGTTGCGTAAATCCGTTAAGAAAACGGATCATGTCACCACGTTGGAATAAGAGAAATGATCAGATGGAATCATTGATATAACGATCCGTACTTCCATGTTGGCGGTGAAATCACACTTATGCCTAGATTAATCGTCTTCGACTCAAAGTTGACCACAAGGGCGCTTTCGTCATTTCGTCTCAGTAGTCACGTGCTCGCACGGTCTATTTGTCCCCACCCCTCCCCGTTCAGACTTTTGCCGCTCGTCGACCCTTTGAAAAATTGAAGATCCACAAACAAACACACACTCTGCACACTCCATTACTCTACTCTGCACACCCATTTGATTCGACCGTTTCTTCCATCCGTAACAACTTCCTCCAATCATTCGATCTTTCTAGATATCCAGAGAGAGAGAGAGAGAGAGAGAGAGATGGAGTCCGACGTCCCACTCATCGAAATCGCAGGAGAAGACGACTCGCTGCTTCAATTGACCCACGGTGACGCCGTTTCAAGCAGCAGCACCAGCAAAATCTCCAAAGACGACGCCTTTTTCTTCTGCTCGCCTCTCCAAACCCGCAGATCCAAGCCACTCGGTTAGGGTTTTCTCTTATACTTTCGTTGAATCTATGCTTCGTCTCTTGTATTTTGTTTTGGCTGTCTAGGTTTTTTTTCCCCTTTCAATTTGACCTCTGATTCGCTCAGTAGTGCGAAATCTGTCTGCTTATTGATCGATATTTGCTTGTTTATATGTATATTTACATAATTGGACCTACATTGCATGACATATAATGAAAAATCATTGAATTGTATTGCAGAAGGTGTGGTGGTGAGTGAGAATTCCAAAAAGCCGAGTTCTACGCTTTGTAGAGAGAGTGCGAATGCGAATAAAGAGAATACGGGTGCAAATAAATTAGAAGAGCAAAAACTCAGCCTCCTGCCGCAGCAAATGAAGAGGAAGAAGAGGGGGGTGGATACAATTTGCGCAAAAGCCTTGCTTGGGATCGAGCCTTCTTTACCGATGAAGGTTTATATTTTGGTTTATGAGTTTGAGAAATAATTTTTGATAGAAAAGAAAATTAAAGATTGGATTTTTTTCTTTCCCATTTTGGTATTCTGTCAGGTGTACTAAATTCCGAGGAACTATCCATGATTAGCGGGAATGCAAATTCTAATGGGTTGTTGTCAGTTATTGAGGAAGACACAAATAGCATTACTGATTCAGCAGATCTACATGTTATTGAAGAAAATTTATTCAAGGTTTTGCCAGAAAGTCCTTCAAGTAAGAAGGATAGGACTGTTGCCGGCAGTCCATTACCAAAGCATGACTCATCAGCTAAAGATAAAGTAGCACCAGGTTCCGCGGTTAGTTCTCAAATCTCTTATAGGATGGCAAAGTTTTCTTTTAAGTGAAGGTTGTTTGATTGGAGTTGTATGAAACTAACTTCCTGAGTGTTTCAAAATTTTAGGCCAAGCGGAAGGTGCTTTCAGCCCGGGATATTAATAGAAGTGGCTCAAAACGCAGTGGTTGCCCTCGACCTGTGGCCTCTTCTTCATATCCTTTTGATTAATTTTCTTTTTGTAGGAGTTTTGTTGAATCTTTTGTTACTAAGATGAGATTTAGGGAAAGTTTGCCTTGACTAATGTGAACTGTTAAAAGGCCTGCAAATGTGAATACCATGAAATCATCAATTAAAGAACCAAAAGTTTCTAAAATACCGGTTCCAAGACCAGATTCCAGTCTGCTTTCTAGGACTTCCAAGAATGTTACAGTTGGTGCAAATGATTTAAAGCGGAATCAGATTGCTCATCCTGGTAACATTTTTATAGACATTGTTACTACAATTCATTACCAAAAATATTTTGCTGTGGTGAGATATCTGAAGAAGATTTGTATATTTGACTACTTCTAGAGGGCTTTGTTGTGTAATATGTTTCTACTTTCTTAAAAGTTAAAGAAATTAAATTTTCACATTTGAATCAGAAGTAAATTATTTGTTTATATTCTGTTAACTACTACTTTCTCATACAGCAGTGAAGTTGAACAACACCAAAAGTGGGCCAAATAATGCGAAGGTCACTCCTAATGGAAATTTTTTAACTTCCAAAAGTTCTGTTCGACAGGCCGGAAGGAATGTGGTGAGAACTTGTAACTTATTGTAGTAGTCTGTAAATTAACTACTAGATATATTTGGGACTATAACTGGCTGACATTTCCTTAGTATTGTGTGCTGTTTGTTATTTATAAGGATTCATATGCTTCCTGTGTTGTGAATTTCCATAATTTTGCAGGCCAGCTTGGTGAAGGGTTCTCCAACCAAAATATCCTGTCCACCGACTTTTGAAGCAAATAAGGGCTTTGAGGGATATCAAAACAAGCAGTTCCTTCAAATGGTCATGCAGCATATGGCCTTGGTGACAGATCCAGAAAAACTGCAGTTCCACATATGATTCCAAAGCAAGCCCTTCCTTCTACCGCTCATGCATCACGTGGCCGTAATGACAGATCCAGAAAACCTGCAGTTCCTGTGATGAACTCAAAACAAGCACTTCCTTCGACCAAGCATGCATCATATTGTTGTCATGACAGATCCAGAAAAACTGTAGTTCCTCTCCCTCTTTCTGGTGTGGTAAATCCTCAACCCCCAACATCAAAGCCATCAGGTTTGCGGATGCCATCACCATCGCTGGGTTTCTTTCAGCAGGTATTTTTCTAACTGCTCTATTGCTGCATAAAAGAATTATGATACTTTCAAATTTCAATATGTCTGATTTTTATTTGCTGCAATTTTGATTATTTGTTTGCAGCCAAAACCTTCTTCTTTGCCTAGTCCTTTGAAGACAAACTCTCAATCATGCGTTATTCCTAATTTGAGGCAAGCGGGCCCTGTAGATCCAATTCATGAATTTCCGCTGCCCTCTTCAGTTGGGGAAAAGCAAAATGTGACCATGGATGGCACAATAACGGGATATAATGATGTCACAATATCAGGAAACAATGATGTCCATTGCTCAAGTTTGGATTGCTCTGTTTTATCTATTGTTAACCCTGCCACAAAGAAGATTGTGGAATCATTCTCGCTAGTAACAGATATGCAGAAGGCAGATCTGAAGGTTAGGTCTAGCTCAAGTAATTGTGATATAACAAATAATAAGCAAAAGTTCGATAGAATTTCTGTTCATGAAGAATCTATGGGACAAGCAGAACCATATATTACTGAAAAGGTTATTCACATGGAAGAGGTAGAATTTCAGAGGAATGAGGATAAACTTCTTTCACAGAGGGGATCCTGTGAACAATTGGATGAAGATGATAATAGCATGAATGTTGCTTTTGTACTTCCTCCAAAAATTAAAGATACTGATAAATCACAGGTTACATCCCACCTTAGTTCCACGGTGAAATTTCCTGGTGTTTTTGGCAGAGTCATAACTGACCATCAACTTCTTGAAGACAAACCAATTGTTTCTCTCCAGAAGAATTGCTGTGTTTTTTCCAAGTCCAAGTCTGAAGATGCAAGTTCTGTCAATGGTACTTCAGTATCATATGTTGATCAGTCTAGCGGTGATCAAGACAATAAATTGCATGGGGAACAAGTTAATCTGTCTAAACCTTTGACCTGTGAAGGAGATCAAATGGTATGGGAAAATAGTGGTAGTTTCACCAAGGAATGTCAAACTTCTGAAGAGATGCAGACCTACAGTTGTGTGAAGGTTGCAGATGTCAGTCCAAATGTCCAAAATTCTAGTGCAACTGACTCTGATGCTTTGTGTGACTCTGGATTTGGTGACCGCTCAAATAATGGTGGTACATTTGACAAAATGAGTGAGAACCCACAGGAGGAAGATGCACAAATGCTGACTCTAAGTGGAAGATTAACAGATGAAATGGATGATGCTGACCGGAGGACTTCTGCTTCAGATAATTGTCAATTGGTGATAACTGATTGTGGAAACAAAAAGCTTGAACAGCTAGACCTTTCAAATTCCTGCTATACCGGAGAACAGGTTTTCCAGGAAAATATATTGCGCTTAGATGATTGTGTATTGGATAGATTCAGTACTATCCCTGAAGAATCCTGGCAGAAAATTGCTCTTCAATGTGTTGATTTAAAAGAAACACAAGGAACTGGTGCCTGCAGAAATGAATCAGAAGTTTCGAAAACCCTTTCTATAATGCCACCTGCTATGCCAGATTGCAGGTCCAATGGGGCAGCAATAATGGAGTCCCAGGACAATTTTGCTTCAGTGTCGGAAGACAAAGCAATGGTTCAGAGTTACAACCTTGACTCTAGGAATGACTCTCAGCTTAATTGTCAAGATTGTTGTTGGAGCCGGAGAGTGTGGATGAAGTTCAAGCCATAGGTGCAGTGACTGCTATGGATGCCAGTTTCTTGAAAAGTGGAGATTTCACGTCCCAGCTAAACCTGAAAGTGCTATTTCAAGATACTTCAGTAAAGCCGAATAATTTGATGGGTGATAAAATCAATTTCAGTGGAGAGGAAATTATTGTGATGAGTGCAGGTTGCTTTAATGCAGAAGATAGAATACTGAATCAGAGTTCAGAGGTTCATGTGAGTTCACTTGAAGGTAGAGAATCTTTTGAAGAACCCCTTACAGATAACACTGGGAATTGTGCAGATATCAGCTCAAAAGTGAACGATATAGGTGGAAGTGGGTCGCAAAGTCCCCATGGTTTATCTAAGCATAAAATCTTGGATGAAGAAAATAAACAAGTTGATGAAGGTAGTGACATAATTAAGAACTAGCTCTTGAAGATTTGCGAGAACATACCTCAGTCTCAAACTACGCATGCTCAGCAGTTGTTAATAATGTATATGAAGAACTAGCTGAATGTCCTGAGCTTCATCATCCAAATATTGATGTTATACGAGTGTCCCAGGATGTTAACCCGGGGTCTTGTTTGAATGGTACCTTGCTTGCAAACAACAGTTCCTGTAAGGATTTTGTGGAAACTGTACATGAGGTTGTTTTTAATGACTATAGTGCTTGTGGAAGCGAAACAAAGAGTTCCAAAGTAGGATCAGCAATGCATGATTGCACACCTGATTTGGAAGAAAAGGCTGACTACTTACAGATGGAAGTTGCAGAGGGTTTCAGTCATGACTATAAGCTAAGCAACCAAGCTGCTTCTCTGGAGGCTGATTCGTGTGCAACAACCACCACTGGAGAAACTTCAGTGTCAACTTTGGCATTAAATGCCTGGGGAGGAGAATTATGCTCATCTGTCATTTCTGATCGGACATCATCAAGTGGAAGTATTCCGCAGGATAATGAAGTTAATGCACTGAGAGGCAATTTAGCAGAGGAATCTGAAATTGATTTCAATAATCATACTTTTAACAGTGAACTGCAGCATGAATTAGAAGATTCCTTGCACCCCGCAGAAGATAAGGAGGCAACAAACAAGCTGTAAGTTCCAAAAAAAAACATAGATCAGTTTATCTGCTTATATTTATGTCTGTGTGTTGTCCTTGTGTTCCTTTAAGCCCTTTGGTGCACATCTTTTATAAATTGAAATTTCCATGCGAAATTCAGTTATCCCGTTCTTTTTTCAGTAAGAAGCCTGGGAGTGATAGGAAGCCAGAGGGCCTTGTAATAAAGCCTCCATCAGATGCTGTTCCATTCTCTGACGAATGGTTAGCTGCACTTGAAGCAGCCGGAGAGGTAATACTTGTACTACTAGTCTTTCATCTGCACACAATAACTTATAACACGTAAACTGCTTTTATTATCCATGTCAGCATTTTATAACTTTTGTTTTGACATACCTATTGTCCCCTGGGACTACAACTACTTAATTTGGTTTGGATCTTCAAATGTACGTGATAATGTAATTATTGCTTTTTCTTCAAACCAATAACATTACACACTACTAACCACATTTATGAAGACGAAAACAAACCGTAGCAAGTAGTTCTGAACTTCCGGTTGATCCAATGCCTGTGGGTTTTGGATGCCTCTATTTCATTCTGACCGAACATTTTGATTATTCTCTAGTTATCGGTTTTGATACAATACACATTTTGTAGTCTTTAGCATGATAGTAGTTATCTTATACCAAGTGTTTCTGCAGGAAATTTTGACAAAGAAAAGTGGCGCTGTACAAAATTCACCCCCCAACAAATCTCAACCTCAACTGGGTCCATGGTCTCCGGTATGGTTTTGCTTCCTAGACGATCATCTATTCATTGTTTACAGATGTACCAATGAGCTGATGCGCTGACACTGTTTTTGAATTTCAGGTGAAGCGAAAAGCTAATCAAGTAATCGGACCATTTGATTGTACAAAACATACCAACAACGTCCCCTCTACTTCTCAATAACCTTCGAGAGTAAGAGGATTCCATCCGCCTAATCATTCCATGTCACACTAACCATTTCGCACCATTCTTTTTCATTGATCCTCTTCTTTTGTTGTAGTCACTAGCTAACTATCTATACAGACATTTTCCACATTTTCTTGTTCTGAAAACATTCAAAATCTAGAAATTGTTTCATTTCTTACCTTATACCGCTATGGTATTGCCTTCATTTTATTGATATAATGTTAGTTGTACACAATCATGTTACTCTCGTAAACATGGAGTTCAATTTTGAACCTCTTCCGAGAGAGGTTGCCGATCTATCTGTATACGAAAGTAACAAAGAGAGTACTTTTTAATGCCACGGATAATGCGTTGCCTTATTTGAGCTTCAAACACTGATTCAACTTGATGTAACAATGAACATTGATTCTTAACCTTAAAGTAAAATTTAGAAATTGAGAGGTCACCTTGAGTTGAATTTGCCAATTCATTTTACAACATTTGTCCCTTTTCGATGTCTCCCGTTATCCGATATATCCATATCATTAGTATGTTCAAACATGTGAGAGACAAATCTCTTCAGCACAACCTTGGCTTTTACTTAACAAAAATCTTTGCTATTACCATACTAGTGAACTAATTGCAAGAATCCGTAATATGAAAACAGCGATATAACCCCAGATATTACTAGCTGGACTAACCCAGCACGCCTTTGTCATTCGTAACTGCTCAAGTGGACCTTAATTTTCAAGGGTAAAAACGTCAAACTGCAAAACAGAAAATCCATTAAGTTTAAGGGAAGATCAGCACCAAAAAGGGTCTTCACAAAACCAGATCGATAAAATTACAACAAAGCAATATTAAGCAAATTTTAAGTACTTTGTTGAAAGCCAAGCTCATCAGAAAAAAGTATAATGATTATTAGAATTGTTAAATCTCGTGTTCATGTGAGAACGACAACACTCAAGTCATATTGGGATCAGTGCTCGAAAAGTCATCCTAGGCATTAGGGGGTGGCTACCCGCTGCGATTTTGCCATAAGCATTAGGTGGGCTTATGTGGAGAATTGAATCTGAAAAAATTTTAGTTGCAAAGCCGGCGGCACTCACTAAGAAGATGATGATTTGCCCTTGGTATGACTAAACCTAGACGATGTCGTTCCTCTCTCAGACTTATCATTTTGTATCTCTCTATCCTCTGTAAATGGACTCCACCATCTTCCTCTTTGCTAACCTTTTGTTTTGGGTATATTTTTGCTCACCACCCTATTGATTATTATTGGTTGAGTTTGATTTAATTTATCAACTGCACAAGTTTCGAAATTTAAACTAATCTAACAATAATTAATAAGATGGTCAACATCTAACGGTAATTAATAGAGTGATGAGCAAGATGAAAACTAAATGAAAGAACTCTCCTAAAGAGAGAATCTAAAATCAACAAATTCTGAGTGAATTTCTTGTAATTATTGAAAGAAATCAAAATAAACATGGCAAAATAGTGATGCCGCTCCACGTCTTCCCGGCTAGGTTCTCGAAAAGCGCCATGTCTCACAGTTCCAAATCCATAAAATACCCTGACAATATCCATTGTGTTAGTTGTGTGCGTGGGCCAAAAGATAGGGAGAGAAGGAAGAGAGACGCATAAGGATTTTCGCAACCTCGAGGCTAAATGTAGGGCCGACCACAGAATAATTTTTGTTTCCTCTTTAGACGTCTAGTTTTTTTATTTTATTTATTTTTATTTTTTTTAAGTGATTAAACATTGGTGTTAGATTAGATATTGTCTGGGAACCAAAAAGTTTAGGATAAATTACATAAAACTACCTTAATTATTGGGTTATTAACAGTTTCATATCTCGTCTTTAAAAAGTTTCAATGTCATACCTTATCTTCGAATTTGTTGTAATGTCATACCTTTCGTCAGTTGTCTGTCAATTCCTCTGTTAAATGTTGACGTGGCATGAGACATGACCCACTTTTTATTAAAAAAATTAATAAAGTATTAACTAAATATTAAAAAATTTAAAACAAAAATACAAAACAAAACCCAAATCCCATCACCCTTAGGGGTGGTTCGGTATGGGATCCCATACCGAAACCCTTGTCCCGATTCCCAAACCGAAATTTTCGGGAATCCCAAATTCAATACCAATCCCAAACCAAATTTTCGGGAATCCCAATTTTTGGGAATCCCGAAATAATTTCGGGATTTTGGGACAAATCGGGAATCCCGAAATGCTTTTGGGCTTTTGGACTAAAATTTGACATATTATGCTTTTGGGCTAAAATTTGACATATTATGTTTTTGGGCCCAAACTGCCAATTTATTATTTCTACTAATTTGCCCATTGCCCACTGCTCACTGCACAAATTTGACATAGTTTCATAAATTAAGCTTCAATCTACCCATTGCCTATTTGTGCACAAAGTTTCAATAATAACAAAGTTTCAATCTGCCCACTACACATGCATCATGCATGCAATAAAAATAAATTAGGTACCAAACCCAAAAGCAAAAATAATAGTTACAAGCCAAGGTTTTAAAATAAATAAAGTAACAAACTCAAAAGTAAAAATAATAGTTATAAGCCAAACTGGGTGGTGATTCTGGTGAAGGAAGGCTGGTGGCACAGTGGTTGCACTTCAAGCTCTTGATGGAACGGAAGTGAAAATTGAAATGGGGGATCTAACCTAAAAACAAATGAATGGCACAGATTAAATCTAAAACAATGAACGGTTGAAATAATTCTCTTATAATTAAAAAATAATATATATATATATAATATTTATTTCGGTTCGGTATGGGAATACCGAAAAAATGGAGATGCAATACCGAATCCCGTACCGAAAATTTCGGTTTGGTTCGGGATGACATACCGAAAATTTCACCCCCCTTGAAACCCCATCCCCTTCATCATCTTCCTATCCGTCATTCCCCAACCCCCCTCCAAAAAAAAAAAAAAAAAAACCTCCTTCCAAACCCAGAACCCCACCCCCACCTTGCAACCCACCCTTTCTTCCCTTCACGTCTTCCCTAAACCCACCGCGCACCCATCCTCCGCCTCCTCCTCTACACTCACCCTTGACCCATCCTCCACCTCCACCTCCTCCTCCGCACCCGAGCTCATCTGCGGAGGAGGAGGTGGAGGATGGGTGTGCGGTGGGTTTGGGGACGACAGGTGGGGGAAGAAAGGGTTGTAAGGAAGGGGTCAGGAAAGATGAAGATGGTTTTTTTTTTTTTTTTTTTTTTTTCTTCTAGGTTGCAGGTTGGGGCTCGGGTGGGAGGGGGGGAGGAGACGAACTTGGGTTTGGGGAAGACGGGAGGGGAAGAAAGGAAAGGAGGGAGGGTCGGGGGGTTGGGTGAGGGAATGATGGATGTGCAGAGGAGGGAGGGAGGGGAAGATGGGTAGAGGGAGAAGGGATGGTCGGGAAAGATGATTGGGATTTTTTTTTAAGGGTAATTTATTATTTTATTAATATTTTAATAGAAAGCGGATCACGTCTTAAGCCACGTCAGCATTTAACAGAAAAATTGACAGACAACTTACGGAATATATGACATTGCACCAAATTCGAAGATAAGGTATGACATTGAAACTTTTTAAAGACGAGGTATAAGACTATTAATGACCTAATAATTGAGGTATTTTTATGTAATTTACCCAAAAGTTTAGTTAACAATTTGGGGATTATAGCAGTATACTAGAAATAGTGCCCGCGTGTTGTTGCGTGATTACAAAACGTGTGAGCATAATATATACAGATATTTAAAGAATGATGAAGCTTGAATCAAAGGTGTATAAGGCTTGTGAAAATGATGACATTCAAACAAAACTCTGAATGAAAGTAAAGGAATAGAAAGAGAAAAATACGACACATACCATTTGTTTGGTGTTAACCAAAGTCATTCAAGAATGTCCATTAAACCGTAAACGACAATAAAAATTGAGGATCAGAAAGAATTAGACAAAATCACATATTTGAAATGAAAGATCAAAGCTGTCCAAATACCAAACTATTCATTAAAAAGACTGAAAATTTAAGAATTAGATGAGGACATCAGAGAGTTTTGTAAAATCAAAGCAAAAAAACTTTTTCTTACGTCAAAATTGATGTCATTGAATCAAACTGAAAGTATAGTAACGTTATTAGATTTTTTTACTTCAAAATTTGATGTCATTGTTTAGGAAACCACTTTTATATGTATGAACTTCATCCTATTACCAAATAGTTATTGGAAATGGTTTGAGTTATAAAACCTGACTCTTATCAATAGCTAGGAAAAACTTGAAATCATATACGTAAGAGTTGTGTTCCCTTTGGCAGATAAAACTGAGAAAGGCAAAGCTTTTCAAAATTCTAATAACTTTACATATTATCAATTTCCCAACAAAATACATAGGTTCCAGCACTAACAACATAAAAACTTTTAAAATTGCAATCTAAATTAATGTTTTCTCTCTTCCTCTCCCTGTCTGTATTCCCTTTGTCACATAAAAGGTAGAAAGACAAAGCTTTCTAAAATTCCAACGACTCCTCTCATTTCTTCCCAAAAAATACAAATCCATTTTAATCCAACAATTATCAATGCATCCCCAAATTGGAAAAAGCAGAAGGACAGAAAACGTACCCAAAATATAACAGCATCGTCACAAGTGCTAACAAATCTCAGATTTATTAACTGAGCAACCAAAAATACTCTTTTTGCCAAGAAAGCCCAATAAAGCACCACAATTGACAGCACAACGAAAGCATGTGCGCGCGCGCATGTTATTTATGAATACTTAAATATACATAAATGTATAAAGAGAGCCAAATCGTTAGGGTTTTATCCAAATTAGCAAAAATCTAAAATAAAAATTGAAAGACAACCATTGTAAAATACACCTTAGTTGAATAACATCTGTTTTGCAACGATCTGATGACAGGCTGCGACCAAAACTGGCTAGAAATCGGCCAAAAATCGGGCCATAACCCAGAAATCTCAGATGGAAAAAAAGACTAACACTGTGAATTCTTGGCCCCCCCGATCGCAACTTTGGAAACCTTGGAAACCACTTTTGTGAGTCTCCTAAAAAAACCCCAGGTTTAAATAGATGCAAAACGGCTGTCGAAGCAGAGACCACAAAGAAAATCCACGAAATCAGGAACTCTTCCCGCGAAACAAAGAACATAATATCGGAGAGAATCAAGGATTTGAAAAAACAATG